ACTTTAAGGAAAAACCTTAAATAAATTAATAAAGAGCTTAAGTTAAGAGAAACTAGCTCTTAAGAGAAAGAATAAAGCCTATAAGATAGAATAAAGAATATCCCTTAAGAATACTAGAAATATAATAAACTCTTTAAGGAAGAACTTAAGATAGGGTTACCTAAATATAGCTAATAAGACTACGAAATTTATCTTAAGGATAGAATAACGCTAACGTTCCATAAAATTTATAACTTAAACGAAAAGTAACTATAAACGCTACGCGACTACCTTAACGAGAATCTACGAAAGGGATATATATAAATATTAATATCTAAAGTAAGCTATCTAGTTATATTTATTTTAAAGAAAAATAGTAAGCTACGACTAGTTATCGACTATAGACGCTTAAACGATATTATAATAAAAGACCGAATACTATTACCGCTTATATTAAAACTATAAGATCGACTATATAGTAAAAAATAGTTTATAGCCCTTAACCTTAAAGGCGCTTATAACTTAATATATATAAAAAAGGGATATAAATAGATAATAGCCTTTAAAACGAAATTCGGACTATTTAAATATCTAGTAATACTATTTAGACTTATAAATATACTAGCTACCTTTTAATAGATAATTAATAATATCCTATATAAATACTTAGATATTTTTATAGTAGTATACCTAGATAATATCCTAATCTTCTTAGATACCTTAGAAGAATATAAGGAACACGTCTATAAGGTACTCCGCGTACTTTAAAATATAAAGTTACTAGTTAAACTAAAGAAAAGTAAGTTCTATATATAGGAAGTAAACTTCCTTAGATATATAATCTTATTAAGAGAGATATAGATATAATAAGATAAGATTAACTTAGTTAAAGAATAGCTAACGCTAAAGAACGTTAAGAATATATAAAGTTTCCTAGGATTTACTAATTACTACTAACGATTTATTAAAAATTTTAAAAAGATTATAGTACTACTATATAACTTAATAAAGACGGAAAAAGAATTTATATAAGACGATAAAGTTAATAAAGCTTTTAAATATATTAAGACTACGATTATATAAGAACTAGTCTTAACTACCTTTAATCTAGAATAATAAATTAAACTTAAAACTAATATATTAGACTTTACTTTAAGAGTATAAATCGGATAGAAAGATAATAAAAGAAGACTATAACTAATTATATTCTACTTAAAAAAGCTATATAGCGTAGAACTTAATTACCTTATCTACGATAAAGAATTCCTTATAATTATTTAAGCTTTTAAGGAATTTCGATACTACTTTCTTAGAAGTAAATATAAAGTTAAGGTCTATATAAACTATAAGAATATCTTATATTTTATAATAACGTAATAGTTAAACGGACGATAGATCTAATAGGCCGAATACTTATTAGAATTCGACTACGAAATAATCTATAGAAAAGGAATAGAAAACGGTCGAGCTAATACCCTTAGTCGACGAAGTAACTATAATATAAGGGCACCTATAGCGAAAGGATAGCTCCTAGAAATTAACGAAAACGGGAACTACTAGCAACGATAGCTAAATCTAGAAGATCCTAAAATAAATAAAAGAATATAAAGTACTAAACGGATATAATATAGAATATTTAGAAGTTCTAATATATAAAAATAAAATCTAGATACTACTAAAATTATAAGATAAAGTTATATAAGATATATACGAATATCTAATATATAGATACTAAGGAATCTAAAGAATAATAAAACGGATTAAACGATAATATAACTTCCTATAGCTTAAGGAAGTAGTATAATAAGTTATTAAAGAATATGAACTTTATATATAAAGTAAAGCTAAACGATATAAACTATATAGAGAATTATAACCGCTACTAGTACTAGAGAAACTATAGGATTCGATAGCTTTCGACTATATTATAAAGCTACTACTATTAAAAGAACCTATAACTAACGTTAAGTATAATAGTATATTCGTTATTACTAATAGACTAACGAAGTATAGGTACTTCTTACTATATAAAGAAGTAAGTAATATAGAAGAGCTAGTATATATATTCCTATAAACTATTATTAGTAATTATAGACTACTAAACGAGATTATCTTTAATAAAGGAAGTACGTTTATAGCTAAGTTTTAGTAAGCTCTTATAGTATAATTAGGGACGAAATATAAGCTTAGTATAGCTTATTACTTATAAACGGATAGATAAATAGAACGACTTAACTAAACGCTTAAATAATATTTACGATACTATATTAGCTATAAATAAAACGATTAAGTTAAATAGCTATTAATAGCGTAACTAGCTTATAATAGCTTAATTATAGAAATAACTAAGCTCTTACTAGTATACGCTAATTATAGATATAACCTAGAAGTATTTAAGGTTACTTAATAAAGACTATAAGTAGAACGGGCAATACTATAAGTAGATTAGCTATAAAAATTATATAAAGAAATATAATAAGAACTTTAATTTATTAGAGAACGAATATCTACTTACTATAATCGGAAAAGATTATAGGGACTAATCTTTTAAGAGGGAGATATAGTCTACCTTATATAACGAAATATTAAAATAAAACGACTAAGTAATAAATTAGATTTTAAGAAACTTAGACCGTTTAAGGTTAAGAAAACTATTTTAAAAGTTAACTATAAACTTTCGCTACTAATAATAATACGGATATACCCGATATTTTATATCTTATTATTAAAACTAGCGCTACGAAACGCTAAACTATAGGAAAAAATCGAAGTTAATAACGATTAAGAATATAAAGTAGAATAAATACTAAATATAAGAAAATAAGGTTAATAATAAGAATACCTTATTAAGTAAAAGGGATATAGACTAAAGGAAAATACCTAGGAACTACTTAAGTACTTAACCTACTATAGTTCTTTACTTTAATAGTTTTACTAAGTAAACCCTTACTCGGAAATATAGGGTTACTAAGAATAGTATCTTAGTCTAATACGTCTAAGGCACTAAACGATTAAACCTCGCTAATAGTAATAGTTTCCTTATTCGATAAACGAACCGATTTATCTTAAGAAGAACGTATTATACTATCTTCTTTATTAATAGCTTATATACCCCGCTAAAATAACTTACTACCTTAGTCCTTTAAGAAACGCTTTTATTTCTTAATCCGAGCTAGGCGAGCTATCGCTTCCTTTAACGCTTCTTTTACTTTCCGTTCGTCTAAATTAATCTTTTGCTATTAATTTATAATATAATAAACTAGAAAAGAAGGAATATTAGTAAAAAGAATAATAAGGAAGGAAAGGGATAAAACGAATAAGCGGACGCTATATTATAACTATTATAAGAACGGCCTATAGAGGTATATTTAAAACACTAATTAAAACGCTCGCCGACCTTATAAGTTAAGCCTAACCGAAAATAACGGGAGCAAGGTATAATTTTAATACCGTAGATCTCGGTCTAGGACGCTAGCTCCGATCGTTAACGCGATTTATCGGAATTACGAGAATAGGATTTTTAAATATAACTAGATATACTATTAGTAGTATATCCCGAAAAGATAAAGGAATAAGGAACGCTATACTTATATATAACGCGATAAGGGTATATTTATATACGGCGGCTAAGGTAGTAGGTCTTAAGGGCAAGACTAAAAGGAGGGGAGGCATCCTATTACGACTATAGTCTAGCGAACCGCGGGGACTAGTATATATTACGAGGATACGTAACGTAGGGAGCAAGGAATATTAGACGGACCGACGGGCTAATTAAGTTTAGAGCGACGGGTTACTCTAGCGCTCTAACGCTCTACGGCTAGGATCGTAGGATCGCTCTAGCGCTCTAGCGCTCCTAGGCCACGGGATCACCTAGTGCTCTCGGCGATCTAGGGAAGCTCTCGAGATATATAAGGAAGGAATAGAATACTCCTTTAGATAGATAGCTCGATAGCTTTTAATATATTATAGATCTTTATTACGATTCTACCTCTAATTTTAATTACCTAGTTATAGTCTACGGTCTATAACCTCTAACTTATTATTAACGTAATATATATATTATTGCTTAGACTATGCCCTATTATATCTACTAATATAAACCCCTAGATAGGTTTATCCCTTAGGAATAACACCGGTCGTTATAGGTTACTATATAGTAGGTAGTTAACGCGATAGTAATATAAGGAGGTACCGGAAGTAGGGGGTACCGGAAGTTAAGTATACTAACTTATAAAACCTCTTTTAATTAGCTAACTTATCTAGCCTATACTTAACTAACTTATATATAAATTAGTCGGCCGTTAATAATACTATAAAAAGAAAAGTAGCGGTCTCTACTAAGTAAGATTTTAAGTATAGTATATAAGAAAGGCCTAGAACTAGGCTATTTAAGCGAGCGATTAATAGATTTTATAAGCACTAGCTCTAACCCTAGCCCTTGCTAGGGACTGCCTTCTAAGGTTAATTGCTGTCTCCTTTATCTCTAATAGGAACGGCAAAGTAGACATAGTTAGATAAATGTTCACGGAGGCGAAACGCATAGTATGCATTAAATAAAGGTTATCTAGCCTCTTTCGATAGAAATAAGCGTTGTCTATCATCGTTATCATTATAGGAGGCAATGGATTAAACTAATTCACTTTTAGAAGTTCTTTTTAGACAGATTAATGTGCGTTGAGCTTACAAACTCAGGCCCATAAGAACTTACCACGAAGCCAACACGGAGACAAGTCCGAGCTACCAAGATGGATTCTCGGGCGTGAAAGGATCACTTGATGGGCCTGGAAGGATATGACGAGCAAACGTACAAGCTTATCGAGTGTATCTGCTGCAAGTTGACATTTATACCCGCCTACCCGAGTAGAAAGAAATGGCTTCCGTTTCAGAGTATTAAAATATTAAATAACTTCATCTATCTAGCTATAATGAATCCATGTACGAGCTGTGCGCACTGGATACGTGGCAATATCATCAGGCATCATTCCTCTCGTTAAACGCAATGCATAATGCGATGATTAACGCTACGTCGACCCCAGGCGCGACGCGCAGTGCGCAAGGCTGCTTGCCTGGAACTTCGCCGCTCTTAGCCGGCCTGTGATCGATGCGTGCGACTAAAGCTCCTGTTCTCGTGCACATAATTTCAGCCGATGTACTCAGCCAATTACCTCGTATTGTCAACTTTTCAGTTTGACCTAAGTAGGACTGAAACTCTGCAGTGGCTTTACTACCCATGACTATTTGCAAAGCTCCTCACCCGTCGTTAGCAATTGCTCGGGCCTGATAAGTTGAGGCTGACGTGCAATGATGGGGTGAAACGTACACTTTAATAAAGAATTTCTGATACTAAAAAGATTATTCCCTTGCGGTCCTTGGATGACATAGGTGTCGTGCATGTGCAGCTTCTCCTTTACAACATCGAATATATGGTTGCCGCTTGTGTCGAGGACGGATTTGCGGCCCGGGGTAGCCAAATGCTGGCCCTGGACAAGAAAGAGTGGCTGACCATTGGCCAGTTTAATATCGAAGCTATCCCCCGATAGAGACAGGAAGGTGTCCCGAAGAACAAGTGTCTCGGATTTCGATGCTATAAAGTTGTTGAAGATACCGATTTGGCGCGAGACAGGTTGAAGCTGGGTCATTGTAGCCGTTCCAGGTTGGTCACGATGGTAATAACGGTATACCATGAGTAAGGACTCTACTTATATTCTTGGATTGTGTCGTTCTTAAACACATACACATTGGCACGCCCCCTGACCGGCACAGACAAGTTTCTTTGAACACGGGCGAATGTGATACTCTACCAAGGGGTAATCCTTTGACAGATAGGGGCAGATTAATTGTCACCTGATGGTCTAAGCGCGGCTTTAAGAATTTTCGGATCGCTCTAGCGCGTCGGTTACGCCCAAGCCAATGTCTGACGACTTATTAGAAACACACTCGGGTCTCAAAACGACGGGTCCGTGCAATCCCAAATATCGCCACCCATCTATTAATGAGACATGTTTTTGAAGCTCCCATAATTCCCCCTCTAAGTCAACCTACGCTGTGATGACTGAAGGCATGCCTCCACTGCGGCACGTAGGTAGGAAGGAAAAACTCCATACATAGGGGTGCGGAGAGGGAGGGACTTGGGAGGCGGAGTAAAGTCCATTCCATACGGCTGGAAAGCTGGGTTAAAAAGCGGCCGGCTTAGATCGTACTTCCGCCTCTTGAGCACAACGCAGTGTATACACCAATAATGATTTCGGCAGGGGCCAGGCCTTTGACATTTGACCAAGTCAAGCTTATGCCCGGTCTGACTGCTCTGCAGCCAAGTGAAAAAAGCGAACATTGGGTCCTCGATTAGGTGAAATTAAGTTTTGTCTCCAGTGCCGAAGGATCGATCTAGGGTGCTACGAAAGGGTGGCTTTGCGGACTCCTGCCAAATCTTATGACCTAAGATAAAGAACCATTGGCCATGAGAAATATAGTCTGCGCCTGGCATGACTCGTCGATAGACCCGGGCTCGTGCTTGCCATTTTTTTTATATCATTACTCGCATGCAGCCTCTAGGGCCATGGCGAGGCTAATAGGGGCCTAGGCCCCTATTAACAGTCCTAGCTAGCTATAGAGCCCGGGGGCTTATAACTAATTAGGGAAAGGGTAGCTATAAAGGCAAAGACAAAGGAAAGGTTAATCTGGTTCCTCCCACGCGGTGTTTTTCCCCCCTAAGGGCCCTAGGGCCCCTAGGTTACTCCTTTTCGAGCTACTTAGCTGTCCCTATCTCTGTCTTAGCTAAGAAGGTTAGAAGGGCTTCCCTTCCTTCCTTAGAGCTATAGAGAAGAGGTAGGCTAAGGGCCCCCTTCTATCTCTTAGAGGTCCGGTAAAGGACCTCTCTTTCCCTTCTATAGTTCGGGCACCTTAGGATAAGGTGCCTAGCCGTATGCCTTCCTTAGCCGCAGCGGCAATCGTCTCGGTCTACCCTATTAGTCCTTTTTAGGAAGGAAAGTAGGAAGCCGGCCCCGAAGAGGAGCTAGTAGAAGGCCGAGAGGGTCGGCCTAGGCCTCCCTATAAGGTCCTTTTCTAGGCTAAGGGCTAGGCGGGGGGTCTTTCGAATAGACGTATAGTGCTTACCTAGGCCCTTAGCCCTAGGGCCTTTAGCTGCCTCGGTAGCCCAGAGGCCCTTCCAGTAGTCTTTAGTAGCCTGACGGACCTTTCTTTGTAAGTAGCTAATAGAGACTAAAGGGGTCCCTCGGGTAGGGGCTCGTGCTTGCCATTACTGCCCTGCTCCTAGAACTCATCGTGTTCACCTCTCTAAAGCCGCGCTGGTCTGCAGCCGATGCGAAGACAACTGCCCCGCGCACTCGGGTTGTCCCGTGAAATGAGACTCATATGCCGGTGTGGGCTCGTGACGGTGGCGGGCTTCGATTATGTTGCATGTGCGCCTTCACAAGGTGGCCGGCGGCCAGGGCACTGCATAGAGATAGCTCGCCAGCCAGAACGGCAGCGCCAATAATGCGGGCAAGTCGGCGAGCGTTTTCACCAGGGCTCGCGTGATCCGCGCCCCGGACTCCAAGGACATCGAGCATGGCGCCCTGGGGTTCGAGTATAGTACCGCCGCCGAGGGTGCCTACCTCGAGCGAGGGCATTGAGACGGATATCTGGAGCGAGCCGCGGAAACTAGCAGAGTTGGAAAAGCAGTGTAAGTCAAGCGACGCACGACTATAAGACGGTAGAGAGGGACCAACTTTTTCATAGTGGTGATGCAGTTTGCGCTTTCAACCACTTGCGCGGGATCTTGCCCCGTAGCCAGGAAAATAGCGGCAACAATATTAGCTGCGTGAGCGTTGAAGCCACCGATAGAACCTGCCATGGCCGATCCAATTAGGTTTTTTGAAGTATTTAGCTCGACCAAGGAGTCAACGTCGGTTTTGAGGACGCTCATCACGACTTTGGCCGGGATAATAGCCTCAGCCACGATGCTTTTACCGCGTCCTTCGATCCAATTAAGAGCAGACGACTTCTTATCGCTGCAAAAGTTGCCCGAGAGGGAAATGATGGTCATATCGTCAAAACCACCCTCCAACGCCATGGCCTTGAGCGCGTGTTCAACGCCCTTGGATATCATATTCATGCCCATGGCGTCGCCCGTGGCTGCCTTGAACCGGATGTAGATGTATGTCCCGGCCATGGCCGTTTTTATCGTCTGAAGGCGCGCAAAACTGCTTGTTGAGTTGAATGCCGTCCGCATTATCGTCTGTCCGGCTTTAGATTCTAGCCACGACTTGGCAGCACCAGCTCTCGTCAGAGTCTGGAAGCTAATACAGGGGCCACGCGTCATGCCGTCTGCCGTCACGACTGTAACAGCGCCGCCGCCTGAATTAATCGCTTTGCAGCCCCTGCTTGTGCTGGCAACTAGCACCCCCTCGGTGGTGGCCATTGGAATAACGTAGCTCTTGCCATCAATAACGAGGGGGCCGGCGACGCCCACGGGTAGGGGGACATAGCCTATTACGTTTTCGCAACAAGCTCCAAACACGCGACTCCAGTTGTAGTTGTCGTACGGCAGGTTTGATTCATGCAGATTATGTGCTGGACCTATAGTTGCTTGGTTGATCTGCGAGATGACCATGCGCCTAACCCTAATGGCGCGGGTGAAGTCATTGTTGAGTGTCTTTTCTAGGGCGTGCCCAGGGATTTTGCCCCTAATCGCCATGGTGACAATTTCCTTGTCCGTCATTTCGCAAGCTCGCTTCTCCACAAGCAGCTTCTCGAGATCCTCGTGTGAGCGATGTTCGGAAAGAATGGGGGGTTCATGCTTTGTCGCTGAGAGCACATGTCCCTTGTCGTCGGTCATAGCAGGAACAGGCGCGGTCTGTTGCAAAGTCGTACATGTGTATTCGTCAACAGGCACCGCGGTCGAACCTGGCTCCTTCTTTTTCCAGAAGCGAGCAGAGTCTTTGTCGTCGATTTCGAGATTGTGCTCCTTGGTGGCCGATGCTGCACCCTTGAAAAGATAGCCGTGGAAGCCAACGGTGAGAGCCAGGACGACGAAGATCCATCTGGACCAGAGGGGATTCTTCAATCCGTCGAAAAATCTAGTAATGAATCTGACGAAGACACTGCTGTCCAGACTACCAGCCTGAGACTGAATCCTCGATGGAGAGTCGGCGCGGGCGCTGACTTGAGCGGCCTTGATAACCCATCTTTCCCTCTGGCCATCGTACCCAGACCCCGTCTCCTTGTCTTCGTCTTGCGACATCTCCTGGACGGCGGCTACAAAGTCGGGCGCCTGCCAGGAGGAGAGGACTTGTGAAGGCGGGCAGGTCGTTAATGGGGCGTCGTTGGATGCCAGGATTGCGACAGAGAAATTGTCGTGGGCCGGGACGCTGCAGGGTCGCAGAGCTGTGTTGGAGAGGGCTTCGGGGAGAACCAGTGTCACGAGGGCGAGTTGACGGGCGTTGGCGACTGCGGCTGTGTCACGCTCGAGGCTCTGGCTTTTCCACATGTTGTCGTGGCTGGCAGTCATGACGCTTGTCGCACTCCCAAACACAGAGTCTTGGACTAAATTAAGCAAAGAGGTGCTTAGGACGACTAGGAGGAAGGTGTGAATCGGAAGCCGGGACGCCAAACGGGACAGAAGCTGGAGGAGCCGTGGCGTCTTGAGACTCTGGCCGCGGGAGCGCCATGAAGGAAAATATGTAAATGTCATGATAATGGACAAGATGTAGATGTCATGGAGACGGAAGATTTGACGACTCTTTCTGCATTCCCAGACCTTGGGCGAATCTCGGCAGCTTGGACTAGCAGCAACGGCTGTAAGAACCAAGAAGGGGCCGTCAACAGGCCTTGAGCAGTCAAATGTGATGCAACCGTAAAGAGAGAACGGCAGAAAGACAACGGCTGTTACTTATTAAAGTTGGGTGCACTTCGGTCCTTTACATCATCGTTTTCGAGGAACCATCACTATCTTATGGCTGCCCAACAAGCAAAAACAGTTGTCGAATAATCCGTGTTGGCCGGTTTCATGCTATGCGTCCATCACGATGTCACCGGGTAGTACAACCCTGTGTCGCAGCTCCCGCGTCAGAGAGTTCATTACTGTCGCCGCCCCGGTGAAACGCGGCAGTGAGCAGCGCAAACTAAGCAGGGACTAGCTTGGCAGCGACTCTCAAATAGAGGGAAGCAGTACAATGCTAGAGTAATAGCGCTGTCAGAAACAGGGTTGAAACCCGTTGTGAGGAGAACGCCGGAAAGCACCCGGAGCCGGGCGCACAACAGTGGCGAGGCCGTACTGGACCCGGAGGTCCCGAGACAGGCCAGGGGTCTCTACAATCGCCCGATTGGCTGCTCCAGCTTGCGAGTCACGTAGCCGCTTGCGCCCCAGATTTGCAATACATGCCGGCCGTTTCCCGGGAACTCTCCGAGGACTTGATCGAGAGCCGCATCAACTCAAGGTGGGCCGCGGCAAGTACAAGCTGGGAAAATGGGAGAGCGAATAATATAAATCGCGAATTTATTTTTAGTAGGGTATTTTCCCATGGCCTCCCTCATGCAGTTCATGTCCACATGAACAAAGGTTCACGTGTCTATCATTAACTCGTTTATAATATCCCGAAGGGCTTTCGGACTGTATCGTTCATTGGTTTAGCTTGCAAAAGGGCCCGAATTGATGAGCGACAGCAGCTCCATAGGCTCATCAAACAGGTTGCCGTCGAAGTTTCGGAAACCCGCACAAGTAAGTTAGGATCACAGAATGTAACCAGTGTATGTAGATCAGCCGCAAGTGTTTAATTTGGGTGATCTGCATGGCAGCACAACTCTTTCGCCAGCAGTGGCTCGAGAACAAACAACGGAAACGCTGGCTGCTTGTGCAAGCAGTAACAGTGAGAATGTCTCAGTGCCAGTCAAGAGTAAAGGACCGGGCTGAGGGTATCAAGGGCTCGGCCTTTCGCGTCGTTGGGATGGGGGAAGGAAGCACCGTGAGAGAGGGCGAATATGTTATTGGAAGGCGAATACAAAGCATTGGCGAATATAAGGTCTAGGCCGCCACGAGAAGGCGGTGGCGTAGAAGTGTAGTCTCGTTCATCGTCTCTCGGCCTTGGTTGTTTGTTTGATGCTATTTCCGTTCCATCTTGAACTCTTTTCGCGGACAGAATAATGTAGATGCATCACATCTACCGACTCTATTGTGCGGCATCTCCACAACTCCAAGCTCGGTTGATCCACGTTGACTCCAGTGTACGAGGCATCTTCAGGTTACTTGGGCACGGGTCGGATGTAGAAAAGTGTCTTATGGCACTCTCGGCTTTACCGCTATACTGGCTGGCCGAGCGAAATGCTCTCGCAGTCACATATGCTGGCCTGGGAACCGCTGTGCTAACTAACGACAGGCCGCCTGCCCCAGACAGCCATGAAGACTGATCCAGGCGTGGGTGACCGAAGCTACCCAGACCTCGCGCATCTGATCCGAAACCCGTGCGGACAAAGGCTTCATGGCGATTGGCGTCTTTGCTTTCGGAGTGATACGTCCTATAGGTCGTATGCCCTGCGGCGAGCGCGCTTTGTTGCACCGGGCTCGTACTTGCCACTGTTTGAACTCGAGACCTGGAATCACCGCGAAGTGCGCGTGAAACTCAATGGCCCACTCGAGGATAAGTTTGGATACGAGGGTTCGACCCACCGAACTATAACAATCGCTCAAAGGTTTAGCATCAATAGATTTCGGTATCCGATGCGAGAGGAGCAGCCTGGACAATGGAGTATCGTCTCCGCGTGGCGGAGCGGGCTCGGATACCTCGGCCTCGGTTTCAAGTGCACGTTCTGCTTGAAGCTCTCGCAGCTTCGGGCCTCGCACGGCCTTGCCGCTTGGCGTGGAATCCGTCCGCGCAAGAGGCCATTGCGCGCTACTTCGATTTTATTTAAGATGACATCGGAGCTCTCGCATCCCAGCTCCAGCAACTCAAGCACATCACTCGACGATACATCTTGATCACTCTACCAAACCTCCCCCCACCTCTAGAGAAGCATTCCAGCGCGAGTCCCAAGATTATCTATCCAATGTCGGCCATCAAGGAGCAAGCTTACACCCTTTCGGGCAAGGTGGCCCTAGTCACCGGAGCCGGTCGAGGCATCGGACGTGGCATCGCCGTCGAACTAGGTCTGCGCGGAGCCTCGGTCGTTATCAACTACTGCAAAGCCGACAAGGCAGCCCAAGAGGTTGTCGCCGAGATTGAAAAAGCCGGCAGCAAAGCCGTGGCCATCAAGGCCGACATTTCCAAGACGCCAGAGGTCACGAGGCTATTCCAGGAAGCCATCAAGCACTTTGGCCACCTCGACTTCGTCGTGTCAAATTCTGGCACCGAGGTCTTCAAGCCAGAGGACCAGGTGACAGAGGAGGACTATGACCGCGTCTTCAACCTCAACACGCGGGCGCAGTTTTTTGTTGCCCAGCATGCCTACAAGCACATCCGAAATGGTGGCCGAATCATCTTTACATCTTCTGTTGCAGCGGCCATGTCGGGCATCCCCAATCATGCACTCTACGCTGGTAGCAAGGCGGCCGTTGAGGGCTTCACCCGCAGCTTCGCCGTCGATTGCGGCCATAGGCAAATCACGGTGAACGCTATTGCTCCCGGAGGTGTCAAGACTGACATGTACGACGAGTGAGTATTTTGCCTCTGATGTCTGTGGTCCAAGATTGGAGAGGGGCTTACACGACATAGAAACGCCTGGCATTACGCGCCCGGGGCGAACCCTTCGTCGTCGATAGCAGAGATTGACAAGGGCTTGGCCAACTATTGCCCTCTCAAGAGGGTGGCCGTGCCCAAAGATATCGCAAAGGTGGTCGCTTTCCTCTGCCATGGTGATAGCGAATGGATCAACGGTATGCTTCCTGGGTGCATGTTTCTGGCTGTGTCGCGTCACTAACACTTTGCAGGCCAGGTGGTGCTCCTCACTGGGGGTTCCTTTACCTAAACAGGAGGCTGAATTGTTGGCTATAGCTTGAGAGTCGAGTAATTGCCGTCGTAATCTAGAGTACAATGATAATTAAAAGTGCCTCTTCAAAATCCCGGCATATCGCTCAAGCGCCAAGTGAAATATTGTCCAGATTACACTGTTTAACCCGCTCCCCTTTGATATAAGCGTGTGGTGTACCATGAGTGCATCCGATGTTGCCTAGGCAGGTCAGCCAACCTCGACACCCCTTTGCCATTCCCCTTTGCCTGCCATTATTGGATTGGTAGGTAGAGATGAATCAGGTCTTGCTGGGCGACCAAGTAGCCTGGCATCGTGTTCAAGTCGACGCGCAACAAGCCGCGAAGAACCTAACCGACATGTCAACAAGCCAAATCGAGGCGGCTAGCTTCTTTGACTCGAGTGAGGTATGCAGAGCCGCCAAAATATGGTGTCTATAGTTTAGATGATGGCAAAAAGAAGCGGCTCGCGGCTCGCGATAGAGCTAAGCCTGCCAGATCATTGACCGTGGCAGGCTTACCGGGCTTGCTGCGAACGGGCAAGACATGTTGAGGGAAACTTGATACAACTAAAAGAGTAAAATTATCTCTCCCAGAATTTGCCCCGTGTGCTTCTCTCGACTTCCGTGCAGCCACCAAGCTGCTGTCCCTGCGCAAGCATAGTAGGCGCGGGTCAACATGGTCGCTGGCTTCATGGCCCACATTACGAAACGGAAAGCTCCTGCTCTCTCTTTTAGCGTACTGTACGAAGCACCGAGTGTGTGTCGCCTGTCATCGGTCGTCGCAGATCCGTGCTCGTGCACGTGTACGCAATGGCCAACCCTTGTTTCCTCTTGGTACGCCAAGCAGCTTCTCCGTATCTTCCAAACATGCCCTTAGACCTCTTGAAAGAACCATGCTACGCTTTGGCCAATCGCAGGAGTCAACGATGCTCGTCTCGAGAACCGATCCATTGTCAGTTGTAGGCGTGCGCTTCCCCGTATCTCGAACCACTGTCAGGTGGATTAAAGTACATGGGTGACGGAAAGCCTATGGTCGAGAGAAGGTGACAGAACCACAGCTCTACAGAGGCAAACAAGGGAAGCGCATTTCCCCGCCGCATAAGCTACCCTTGACAGAAACTAGAGTCTCCAGAACCAACCCCCGTCTATCTCCCGTCAAAGTCCTCCACGGCCAAGGGCCATTAGCGTTTGGCCACGGCAATGGAGGTTCTGCGCACAGACGGGGAGTTCCTCGAGGTTTCTTTAACTCCCGGTCCCTCTGTTACGGAATAAACTGGAACGTGATAGCATGATGGCACGGCAGGGATCCTCGGGGCTTGGGTCCGGCCCGTCTGTCAGCACGGATGAATAATTAATAAATTGGATCCCTTGGGGGCCAGATATTGGCATCGTGTGTTTGGCCGGCCTCTGCCGCCTTCGGCAGCGGAGACGCTTTTCATTAAATTATTCACCCCACCCGCTGCTAGTTGTCGTAGCACCATTGTTATATAAAAGGTAGATAAGGTTATAAAACATATGCTATCATGAGCGATTTCCGCATTTTATATTAGTCTATTTTACGTACTATTCTCTACTTACATATATCATATGAAGTAAAAGGCATTCATTTTCTCAAAAGGAAAGTGCCTTAAAGGAGGGTTTGCCTCCCCAAGAATATATTCATATATTATATGTAATAAGCTTATATTCGTTCCGTAATTATCTACCAGCCATCGCCACGTCTTCGCGTGGCCCTCCTAGGTATAACGAGTTTCTTCGAGGGCAAATCACTCCCTGGAGCAGAACATTCCGGTGCTAAATATGAAGTAATGTCGAGCTCCCCATTCCCCTTGAATGCGCAGCGGAGATAGGCTTGCATCCCCTTGCTCTCGTTGAGCCGTCGTTGCGGAGACAGACTCTCAAGCATAGATAGATAGCCCTTACAGTATTGACTCCTGTCGTGGCTCTCCATCCAGTTGGTGATGGCGTGGGCCAAGGTGAGGTCATCGCGTCCGTAGTGCCGTGCTATGATGTAGAGCTGGACATCGGGTAGGGCAGCGTCCGGGGCAATATCAAAAGAGTATACAAAGCCAGAAAGAAGGGCGGGTACTTTGGCAAATGCGTCTTTATATATATAATCGTATTCGGGTGCGAGGGGCATTTCGGTTTGTTTAGGCAAGCTGGACTCCAAGCCTGCAACGGCGGCAATTAGACTCTGCAGTTCCTGGAACTGGATCTCTGAAATAGGAATGCGCCCGCCTAGGGTTATAATCTCGCGTGCCGACGAGAAAGTCGTGCTCGGCGTTTGGAAGTAGAACTTTAGTCGCGACTGTGCCGGTGTTGCGTGATCGATGCCCAACATGCTGCCTGATTTCTCAAGTTAGCTGCGGTAAAAACTGGATAAAACCGGGGGGTATGACATACAAAGGGCTTAACAATTTTCCTTCGGGATTGGTCTCGATGAAATCCGACACCGCGGCCCGGGATTTGTTGTCAGGGCTTAGTCGCGATAGTCCTTCGTCCCATGTCGACATAGGGTTCACGTAGGAAACGTCGATGGAGGGCATTGCGGCTTGAAGGCGACGCAGGAGCTCTCGCGAGGCATCTTGGTTAAACGGGTCCATCTTAGTGCCACTAAAGCGGTTGGAGGCCTCCATAGTGCAGCGGACCTCTGGCTGAGTCGTAGCTGTATTCCATTTCCATGAATAGTCGAGCGGCTCAACGCCAAAGATGGAAGACCACTGACGGTTAACATCCGGCCTTGGTGCATAGCTCAAATATGGTATCTGGATGTCATGTCAGATGAGCCTGATAACACTGTTTGGGGAAAATAGTCCAACGAAGTTTCTTACAGTCCAATGATAGTGGGACAAGAGCGCGTCGTACTGGCTCTCTAGGGACTGCCCAGCTGCGTCCATCATTATGGCAAGTTGTGTCCCCGTTACCTTCCACCAGTGATCGATTTCGGTATTATGAGACGGCAGCCATTGTGACAGTGCCGCCCATGCCTTGGGAGGTTGTTGGGGGTTTTGGGTCAAATTCTTATTGGCGAGGCAAGTCATTGTTAGTACGGGACCAAGGATCAGTTTCGTTGCGCGGCACGTTGATGTGAGTCGTGGACTTGCAGCAGGGCGCAAGGGCTGAAGAACATGGTCATCAGAGGTAGATTTCCGCAGATGAGCAATCCTACTTATCAAAGCCATGGGGCGTGACCGGCGCCTTCTTACACGCCAAACGGGAGCCAATAGAGGCGCGGACCCCCGCGCCTTTAAAGTCGGCGCGGACGTCCGCGCCTGTTATGTAAGCCTGGCAGGCCATTTGGGCCGCCGCCAACTGCGCTCGCAGTCGGCCTCACCGATACAGCATGCTTGCTGCATACATATAGCTTCAATTAATTGCAAAGGAGGATATCCCTTAGGGTTCGAACCCATAGCCTTCCCTATTTGGTAGATTGACGTGACGCAAAGGGCGCCGCTGTTGCGTGGCAAGGAGGGTGCGCGGAAGTTCACCGCCTTAAAATTGGCCAGCTACAGTGCTACACGCCGGTGCATGTCGGTGATCTCACGATCTGCCTCACATTTTCGCATCGCCGGCATCATCACCACTTATATATGTGAATAAAATGCCTGCTGTTCCTCTGAGTCTCTCTCGCAGTCAGCCCATATACCTGCAGTACCTCTTTCTCGTGAGAAAGGCTGCACCTGAATTTCCTCGGCCACCCGGGCATCTAATCGCTCTTCTTCTGCCTTATCCCAATCAAGGTATGCCATCATCTCTACCTTGGTCCATTGCCTCGAGCCGCAGCTCCTTGACATTTGCTTCCAGTCGAGGCACCAGTCATATTCAGTCTTGCTGTAGCGCAATGGCAAGCCCATTGCCTTTCGGTATGCCTGGTTGGTCTTGAGACTGCCGCGAGGCTGTGCTCTATACCAAGAGTCTCTTTCCCTGACATACCTCTGATAGATGGCTCGTGGGTCATCATATAATAGATTCTCTGTAGTCTCTGTAGTCTCTGCAATTGCTGTAGAGACTGTAGAGACCGTAGTGACTGCAACTGTCATTTTCTCCATGACTGCTGCAGTCTGCGCAGTCTCTGGAACTGCTACCGTCTGTACAGTCTGTGCAGTCTGTGCAGTCCCTGCAATTGCTGCAGTCTCTGCAGTCTGTGCCGCCCGTGCCTCTGCCCGCTGCAGTATGTCGCTATAGCGTAAAGGACAATTGCGAGATGTCATGATGTGCCCTTGCTGGTGGCATTTGCTGCATGTAGGCGGCGCCTTTGGCCGTAGATCTGACTCTATGGCTTCAAATGCACTTGGCTCGCGCTGTGTGGATGACTGTGATATCCTTGATGCGGCGACAAGTTGGTCTAGTCGCCGACGAGGCTCTATGAGGACCTGACCAATCTCTTTGTTATCCCGTCGAAGGCGCCAATGTGTATGAAAATGTTGTAGCCGGAGGGGCAGATCTTCCACTATGAGAGACTGTAATGCGTGCGCACAAGGAGACCGCGAGACTTGGTGAAGCTGCCTGTGCAAGATGGGGTGTTTTTCTCGTTGAGGCGCTTGTGTTGCTTTGCAACCTGTCGCAAGGCTTCGTGTGATACCCAGCCACGTACCGTGCTATATACGGTTCCAGAGAGCTCAATTGGCATCCGTATATGCTGCCTGGCTTGGTTGGCTTGTAGCTCGGCCAGTTGGTTGAGGAGAGCTTGCTTGATTGCCCTCGTTGCCTCGAAGAGGTCTAATGTTGACTTCTTAAGGTGACTCTTCAATAATGCGTGGATGCCTTCCACCCGGGAAGTAGCCACATTGCCGAAGTGAGCATATTGATCGACCCAGGCCTTGACGAGCTTTTCCTTATACGGGTCCAACCAGGTTTCCCGTATGTAGCTAACCTCCTTGACGTATCGTGGCACAAAGCGCTTCTCGAGCTCTTCAACTTGTTGATCAAATGTCTCCTCATCTTTCGAGCCCACGATTGAGTGCCAATACCCAAAGAACTCAGCCCACCTCTCATCACTATTAGAGTCCTCATCGTCACGGTCGAAAGCTGGTTTGCAATAGCTAAGCACCGCCTTATTCGCATGCCAGATGCAAAGCAGAGACTTGGACGCAGGAAAGCACCGGGAAATTGCGTTTATGCAGGCGAGGCAGCGATCTGTCAGGATAACCGATGGCTGGCGAATGTCATATAACTCGTATATCGATTGGAGTTGGTCCAGTGCCCAGATATAGTCATTTTCGTCTTCACCACTGAGGAAGGCAAAGGCAATACAGAATGACCGCTGACAGGCATCAACGCCGATCATATCGAGCAGTGGCATCTTATATTTGTTCGTCTTGTATGTGCAGTCTAGCAGTAGTAATTCTGGGTATGCGTTGAGGTATCCTAGAGACGCTGGGTGTGCGAATAAGACTGCTGTGACTCGGCCATCATGATCAAGCTGTATGCGGCTCTGGAACCCCTCGTTGTCAAGCTCATTGGCAAGGGCATGCATTGTGCTCTGGCCAGCAAGGAGCTCTCGTCTGCGCTGTGCGATACAGTTATATATGTCTTGCTGTGTCGCTCCTTGGGCAGTCTGAGAGCTCTGGCGCATATATGTCCGGATATCCTTTGGTGCTATGCCAGCGCTTGAGAGGTTCCCAATAGCTGACTGGTCAGTTGAGGAGAGGGCACGATGAGCTGGATGTGCTGTAATATGCAGACTGGGCTCATGGTTGTGGACCGACTTCTCCTCGCCTGGGCGATGCCTGACATACCAGTACGACTTATCAAGGCTCTCTTTCGCATTGATGGAAAACTGGCATCCAGTGATACGGGAGCTTGTAGACCGTTGCCGATCAGCTGGCTTCTGGTCCTTGCTTGTATGAGCCCCAAGTCTACCTCCACGATCGCAGGCAAATATGACTGTGCGTCTTCCGGACCGCGGGTCTCTCGTGGACTTGCCTGTGGTGAAGGCATAGCCTCTGGAGCCGCCCACGCATTAATTGAGGCAAGAAGAGACTCGCGAGTCGAACTGGCCCTCAGGAGGAAGGCAATCGTCAGGAATTCAGTAAGCCCCATATTGGAATTATCTTGAAGAGCTAGCTGTAGTGCACGACAGTGAGCAGCTCTTTATACACAAAGGAAAGGAAACTCCTGCTTTGTGGACGTGGTGCAGAACCCTTGTAACCGAGGCCGCCTGCGAGGTTTAATGCAGCCTGCGTTTGAGCTTTGGCCTCAATGGGGTCCAAGCACCACGCATGCAGGCGCTCGACCTTAATATGCGGATTATAGCATCGCTTCCGCGGACAACTACTCTGAGCGCAGATGGTATGCTATATGAGGCTGGCTCTCTGTGCGACAGTTTGCCACATGCAATAGAAAAGGAGAGTACAGGTCAGGGGGCGGCCCGACTATCTTCCGCCTGGGCTTACATAACAGGCGCGGACGTCCGCGCCGACTTTAAAGGCGCGGGGGTCCGCGCCTCTATTGGCTCCCCACGCCAAACTTGTGGTTGACTAAACCTATGTGCGGATCAACCCGAGACACATTCAACAACCGGAATTCGCAAATCCGGGGGCCTAGGGGCTTGCCGTCATTCAAGTGGACGGTCCAGCCACGTCTGTGCGCTGTTTCACCCCCAGGTAGCTTGTAGATCAGCCAGGTGAACTCAAACACCGATGCTACGGCCGGCGCCTGAATTAGCAATGTTGCTTACCGCGCGGTGGTTTCTTGGTACCCCATATTCGTTTTTGGGCTTTATATCCCCGACGAAACAAGGACACCCGGAAGGCGTCCTCAGATGCTGGAGCTGTTTTTGAACGGGCTTTACGACTGGCTGCGTATCCGGCAAGATGAGCACCCGTCCCAACCCGTCTTCAAACCCGTTTGGGGGCGGCCTCGTTGCGAAACAAATCGCCATGTGCTTCAATTCTTACACTTATGTCTGTCCAACATGACTCAGAAAGCCTTGACCTATTGCTCACCTTTTCCTCTTCGTCTCGAGACTTGATTCATGGAGTGGCTGCTGCTCTTCGTAGAGGCAAACGTCTACTCATACCAATGCTCCCCACCGGTTTCCCCGCTGGGTCAAGGCACGCCCGCGCTGGATATAGTGGTACCATCGTCTGGTTTCATTTTGATATTCTCAAGCTCGAGAGGGGCAGCATTGACTGGGGCTTTGGGATCGACCTGACGGCTCATTTGACCCGCGGCTCCCAGTGCCTTGCGACCGCCAATTCGTCAGCTACGGATGGAAAAAGAACGGAACAGTTACATAAGCCTACGGATTCCATACGCAGAAGCATAGGCAGTTGATTAGATAAACCAACTTCGTCCGGTGTTTGCCGACTGATAGATCTGGACACGTGCGATTTCGCAAAGCAGCACCCAATAACTCGCGGATGAGCTTCCTTGATTGCAACGCACCGGAGACGGATGGATATTCCGTCGCTATCTCTGGATTTCACATATCCAAGATATATGCGCATTATTCGGACACCAGTGCACGCTTCTACGGGGACTTGAGCGACGATGCGGCTTCCAAGCTGTGGGTGTACATACTGTCAACAAGGAAGAATACTTGGCGCAGATGTTATTTGGCCTGCCTAGTTAATACAGCCTATGCCACCCCATATAATGTATATGCTAATGCATAGGCAAGAGTGAAATCCTTATAGATTGTGCCCATATTGCAATAGCCGCTTTAAAAAAGGGTCTCGAAAGACAAACGAAGCCGCTCTTTTGCAAAACATGTTAAGTATGCATCCCAATTATATGTATCTAACTTATCCCTCGCTGCTATTAGTGGCCAAGTATACACGTATGTTTTATGTGGTGAAAGACCCTTTGAACACCTTTTCGAAATCATGTTCGTTCCATCTCACCAGCGGGGCCAGGCCTGCGAACTTCCACACTCCGTCAACCTTTGTATAAAAGTGCTTGTTGGTGGCATGGCTGTGGCCTTTTAGTTTGACAGTTTTCAAGCTTGCGTCCGTGTAAACCTGGTGGGCAGCCCTGAGCTGGTGATGTCCGATGACTTGAGTCTCCGATACCCGCTCCCACCGAGTCGCGCCAAGCAAGTGCTGCGTTTTGACGCAGGGATCGCCGAGGAAACCGTCATCGGCCACCATGGCCATGAAGTCGTCTGCCGACATTGCTTCCCATACGCCCTTGCCAATTTTAGTGTAGTCGACGTAGAGAGATGGTGCAATGATGCCGCGTAGTCGATCCCAGTCCTAGCGAAAAGTCAGACAAGGAAAACGGTGCCAGCATTTTCATACTCTGGCCGCCCACCTTTGCGTCGTAGCTATCTCCCCAATCAAAGAGTAATGCTGAGAGATCGAGATAATCTATCATGGTTAGTTATTGACTCCGGAAGAATCATGAAAATTAGGTGCTTACCCTGAAAGGACAAGCTATCAGTTGGGTTCCCCATGGCGTTCAGGTACGCGGACAGATCCGTTGATTCGAGATACGAGCGTTGAATGTAGAATGCAGATGGATACCACCAGCGCCCGATAAAAGCAAAATAGCAGAGGCTTTTATAATAGTTTGCATACCGTCTGCGGTTAAAAGACTAGGATACGCTTCCCCACTGACCCGTTGGAAAATCCGCTCGCTTCGATCTGTGCACAGCGTGCACATGCCTCGGGTTTAGAAATGACGGACACCAAGGCACACGGGGAAAGCGGAACTATCCTAAGCCGATTGTGCATTTGGATTAGTGTCAAACTCGGATCACGGTTGGTTACCGAATCCCTACGGACTCTCGTCTCAACCCACTTGGACATCTTGATCCAGGCTAAGCTACATCTCTACTGTCGCCACGAGAAGAAAATGAGCGGGGTGCCTCGACCAAGTTCATCTCTCTCAGGGACAGGTGCTTGATGGCCACCGTGAGCTTCGTTTCGTTCCCGAGGTTTACAATGCCCTTGGAGCAGATCCACCTGTTGCTCGTGGGGCTACTTGAAACAAGTGCTCAGTCGATACATTTGGCACCTCAGGTTATTTCTATTCATTGAGAGCACTCTGTGGGCCTTTCCGGCAAATCCATGATGAAGCGCTTTGATATCGTATAACCTTGTTCTCTCTCCGCTACGAAGTAGACGCTTGTACTCATAGGTTAAGTAGCTCCGCCTGCCAAATCATCGTACTGAGTGAACTCAAGTGCCACCAGCGAGACTTGGCGGATTTCCGGCTCACGTTTCGGTGATTTACGTCCACTGCGCCATTTTAATTGGATTGACCCCTTTGTTAACCGCGATTGGCGAAAGAGCCCCAGGTCCATCTTTGCCCGAGGTCAGTGCACTCATGCTACTCTACTGGTTTACAATCTCACGGTTCAAGCAGAAGTATCCCGAGGCAGGTACGAAAGCTCCTCCGAAAGTATTTACGAAATATCAATACTAAACAATCTACCACTAGGGCTAAATGGGGATACACTGTAGTTTAGACGCTCGAGTTGAGCTTCTGCGGACTTTTCCAGTGCGATTTGCGTAATGTCTCTGCGCGGCCGGTCTAAGAACTGTCCGACCCGATGGCGAAGTCGTGATTGTTTCTCATCTCGCTTTTTATATGTACTCTTCGTATTGATCTTTCGCCTCCGATTCTCTGGCGGTTCTTCCCTCGGAACGACGGGTTGATATGTCTCATATTGGGATATAAAGAACTCAGAAACCAGTAAAGGCAATCGGAGACTCGCCTTGTTAAAGATGCATTAGCTATATTGCATCGCCCAAGTATACTGATACAGCTACAATTAAACATTACAACGCCCCTCCAGGCAACTTAGGGGTGAGATAAGACGTTATATCAAGCTCCCCAGTTCGCTTTATCAAGCAGCTAAGATAAAGCTGCAAATCATTTCCACCATCAAGTCGACGATGCTGAGTGAGATACTCCAGCACCGACTTCCAACTCTGGCAAAACTGGCCTCTGCCATGGTTCTCCATCCAACTCATGACGCCGTTGGCCATGGAAGCATCATCTTGACCGAGATATCGCTGTTGAATGTAGAGCTTAATGTCAGGGAGTGTACCGCCGGGCGCAATGTCGAAATAGTAGATGAATCCAGATAGAATCGCAGGCAGATCGGAAGAAATTCCTTTGGAACCGGAACCTTGTCCAGGCGTTGGCCGCACCTCGGAATTGTCATCAAAGTCGGGGTTCAGACAAGCCACGGCGGCAACCAAGCTTTTCAGTTCCTGCATCTTGGTTTCCGGAAAGGCAATGCGACCGCCCAAAGTCATGACTTCCCGGACAGAGGCGAAGCTCGTGTGCGGCGTGCGAAAGTACATTTTAATACGCGACTTGGATGGAGTGACATTATCAACGCCAAGCATGCTGTATCGCCTAGTTAGCCCCTGTCAAGTGTATGCTTGAAGTGCAATGCGAAGAATTTCGTCCTCTCTCGCTTGACGAGGTGCACCTCTGAAGCTTGAAAATTGATTGCAACTTCCGGTGCCATGATGGCCAACTCGGGTAGATCAAAGAACGCTTACAAGGGGCTGAGCATTTTCCCCTCGGACGAGGTCTTTATAAAGTCATATACCGCGGCTCGAGCGGCGTTTGCAGGATCCAACTGCGCGAGGCTCTGTTCCCAAAGCTCCATGGGGATCTTGCCATGGTCATAGCCCAGCTTACGGGGTATAAACCACGTCTTCATGGTCAAGCCCTTGTGTGCAAACTCGGCAGACACCAATGTGGTCGACGCAAGCTTGGCCCCCGAAACAGCTTCCAGAGTGTACTTTTGTCGATCGTCGTCGTAGAGAGTTGAGAGGAAATGGTCCATCCATGTGAGATCGAGAGAAGGCAGCACAGATCGAAGGCGGCGCAGGAGCTCGTTTGTCGGATCCTGGTTTAGTGGATCCATTTCGCTGCCGCTCAGTAGGTTGGTCGCCTCGAGAGTGTAGCGGACCTCGGGCTTCGCAGTAGGCGTATTCCATTTCCACGAGTACGTCATGGGCATGCCGTTGAGCTTGCTGAACATGGATGGCCATTTGAGCTTGCCGTCTACTGATGGCGCTGGGCCCATGTAGGGTATCTTGGTGTTTTCAGTTAGTCAGAGACTCGGAGTACTCCCGTGGTTGGTCGACGAGAAAGCTTACAATCCAGTGGTAGTGGAAGACAAGGGCCTCGAACTGCTTCTCGGCGGAATATCCGGCTGCTTCCATCAATGTAGCCAGACAGGGCCCCGACAGCTTCCACCAGTAGTCGCTATCCGTGTGGAGGGGGGGCATCAAGGGTTGCAGGGCCGCCCATGCTTTTGGCGTACCGCGGCCTCCGGTGAGTGCGTTTTCCGCCATGCTCCCTTTCCGCAGAGTAACAGCGCCGGCCTTTGAACAGGGGTGATGGCAGCCCAGAGGAACCTTCAAACTTATAAATTTCAGTCGATTATTGAAGTGTTGAAGTGTAGCCAACAAGTGTGCGGATCGTCAGCCAGAAGGTGGTACGAAAGAGCAACGTAGAAAGAAGCAAAGGTCCAGGATAAAATAAAAATACCAGGTCGGTCGGAGAGCTCCAGACTTCAAACGTCCCGGGGTATTTGCCGTGAACCACTAACAGTTCGGAGTGGACTCCCGCTAACAAGGTCAAACCGCTTGAGCCTCGGAGAGCAACAGGAAGGTTCCCCGAAACATTACTCTCAGACAGCAGGGCGCAAGCCCGTGCGTTCACTTCAAGTCGGCATTCAAGATGAAGGATTGTTTCATACGTCGCACATTTCTCAGGCCTGGAACCCCGTGGACGACTTCTCGGAGCGACGGGAACAAACGCTCCTACTGAATTCGAAACCCACCCCAGTAAAACGTAGCTCGTCGCTACCCTTTTTCTTTATAAATTTTGCTGCCAAGTCGCTTCTAGCATACGTTTCACTATTGAGCATTTCTTATTTCATCACCCAGCATTTTGTCAAGCTGGAATCGCTTATTGGAGCATCGAGTACTTTTAACCCAAGTGGCACATAACTTCCTCGCCATTTCTCAATGCTGCACGCCCCTGTAGCGAATTACTTAAGCTTCTGCCTTGGCCTCGATTTATCCGATGTTCCGCTTATAGTAGGGAAGGGGTTTAGCTCCTTAAACTAACTTGAAATTCACTACCTTTTCTGTAGGCATTCTTAAGTTAAGAAAGCTAGATAAATTGAGTAGTATCCTAGTTGGTGATATGATAGAAATACAGTTTGAGGCAGTATAGAGCTAACAATTCTACGGCTATGGTATTATTCTACTTCTTGCTTTATATATAGAGTGTCGTTTCAATAACGAAACCATTTGGGAATATAATTCAACTTAAAGGGAAGAAAGTGTCAGAGCAGAGAATGATTTATAATATATGATATAACGATATATATATATATATATCGTTGATTGGGGTGAGTGCCCCTATTTCGCCTGATGTAGCGGTACTTTACCAGCATCAGAGAAAGCTACTACGTTGTATTTACCTGAGAAATCAATGAGATCGACTCATTAGAACTCGAATATATAGTAGGCTAATGCCATGAACAGGAAAATAAAGTAGTTGGTATGTAATTAAAGTACTAGACATTTTGGATTATTCTATCCAAAGACGTAATTGGCCTTCATAGGCTGAAAGAAGCTTTGATAAAAGGTCGATTGTAAATGCTAACCAAGTTCTAAGTATATAGTAAACTGGTCTAGCCAGTAGCAAAACATAAGCTGCAGTCGCAGAAGGAATCGCAAAAAGTAACAAGGTGCCAAAAGAGAAATCCCACATTTTAGCATAGAAATGTAAACGCCCATTAACATGCAACAAAATGCTCCGTCAACACGAGAAATGTACATGCTCCATAAACAACTAACCACGTAGCTCTTTTTAGGTACTGATCCTCACTGCCCTAGAATGCCGCGTCGAACGAATTCGCGCATCTCCTCCATGTGCGACCCCTCGTTCATCATGGTAAAGTGGTTGACATTGTCCAGCACTTGAACACTGATCTTGCCAGCCCCAATCAACGAGGCCCAGCCCGCAGCGGAAAAGTCGGTCCTGTCGCGTAGGAGCCAGAGCATCTCACGCGGATCATCCGGGGCAGTCTGGATATGCGGCACACTCGGGTCCTTGCAGATGCCGTCCCGTGCGTAGATGACGGTCGTTGGCGGCGCGTTGGCCAGAGGTCTTGGGACGTAGCCGTCGAGCATGTTGACGACCGAGTCGAAGTGGTGGCGCAGCCAGCTGGGCACCGCCTTGTGACCGCTCATGTTGCCGAATACTCCTGCGCTCTCAAAGAAGTCGAACATTCGGGACGGCGGATTCTCGAGACCAATAGGGTTTGGTGCGTCGATGAGCAGCAGCCTCTCAACCACCTCGCCCGCTGCCATGAGCTTGCGAGCCGCCTCAAAGGCAAATATGCCACCGGCCGACCAGCCTCCCAAGAGGTAGGGACCGTGGGGTTGGATCCGTTGGATCTCGGCGGTGAACTTGGAAACCACCTGATCCGTCGTCACCCCCAGCTGCGTCATCTCGTGTGGATTCGTCCGCCACGGGCAGTTTAGTCCGTAGACGGCGGTATGGGGATCTAGTCGAGCGAGCGACCCATAAGAAGCAGCCGAACCAGATCCGTCGGGGAGCAGAAACACGGCACGACTAGGGCCCTGGGTCGTCTTGGCGCGCCGAAGCACGATGGAGGTTGCGTGCGGGGCGCTCGATACGATATCGTTGTTGACGGCATCTGGCTGAGGGAGGGATATGGCGACGGGAGCCGGGTCGGCGAGTTTGGTGGTGACGCTTGGGGCCAGGACCTTTTTCAGACAGGCCTCAATTTCTTCCAAAGTCCCGTTCTCCAACAGCAGGGTGCTGGATACCTCGGCGCCCAGGGCTTCCGAGAGGCAGTCGGCAATTGTCAGGCCGAGGAGCGAGTCGATCCCAATGTCAGCCAGGCAAGTCGTGGGCGTGAGCTCCTCGGCTGGTGTTCCCGTCTCATCGGCAATAGTCTGGCGGATGACGACCTTGAAGTCCACGTCCGCATGGACGCTCGAGGCCGCCGTCAGACTGCTGCTCGACGACTCATAGTCGGTGTTGGACGCGGATGTGAGCGATGGAGTGTCCCTGGGCACATTATACTCGGGATCGAGGAGAGACTGCAGGTCCTTGACCGTCGGGTATGCGGCAAAGAACGTAGAGGGCAGGTCCATGCCAGTTTCGTCGTGGATGCGCTCGGCGGCGGTCAAGGCGAGCAGCGAGTCGAGCCCAAAGTCGGCAAAGAGGCTATCGGGCTGCAGCTCTGCCAGCTCTATGCCCACCTCTTCGGCAATGATGCTCAAGACGTGGCCAAAGTCGCCCGAAGCCTTTGGCACGGCGGCCGGTGGGGGCGGGGCGGCGGAGCGAACCGGGGCCTGGGCCGGCGTTGGAGCAACAGGGGCGGCCTTGGCGCCGGCAGGCGCCTTTGTCGTCGCCTTTCCGGGCAAAAGGTTGTCCAGAACCTTGCGAGGGACGCCCTGGAACTATAAAGAGGGTTAGAAAAAGTCGTGAAAAAGGACAGACTGTTGTCTAGGCTTACCGCGACTTTGTCAAAGACGCCAACGATGCGGTCCCCATCCAGAATGTACGTGTCGCCGGCATACAGCTTGCCCTCTACAAGCTGCATCCTGTTGTAGGTTGTATAGACTTTGCCCTTCTCGGGGGTCTCGGCGAATCGCAGCCGGTTCCAACCGTGGTTGATGAAGACTTGCTTGTCCGACTGCACGTGCTCGTTGCCATTCATGATGAAGCCAGCCAGATGCCCCAGGCTGTCGATCCACTGCGGGTTCACGACGAAGCCTTGGTCGTCTACACGAAACGACACCTTCGCCGTCGCCTCGAGCTCCTCGCTGTCGAGGATGACTTCCTGCATGCCCTGGTATCCATCGCTGTAGTCAACGAGGGAGCCGAAGAGCTTGTAGACCATGGCGCGCTTCAAGCGGTGACAGTTACCACTGATGACTCCACGCTCGAGGGAAGCAATCCTGCCATTAATCAGGTACGCCATGGGCTTCCACTCGTTGAGCCACGCGGCCTTGTCAGTCGACAGCCGGACGTTGACCGAGGCGTGGCTCATCGTCATGGTGCCGGAAGCGCCGACGCTGTAGATGGACAGCGAGATGATCTGCGATGTCCAGTCGGCCGTGGCGGAAACACGGAACAGGTGCGACGTTTCCGACGGAAGGGCAATGAGCGGTCGATCAATCTTCATGTCGCACACATCAAAGCCGGTGAAGCTGGCTGCGGCGTTGCCTTGGACGAGGGTTTTGGCTACGGTCAGGGCAACGTCACCGTACAAGCTCTGCGCTTCGTTAGTCCTGTTTACATATACCTACGAACAAGGGGACCAGCAACTTACCGAAGGGCACAGGGAGGCGCCGTTGACCATGTGGCCGCGGAGGATGTGCGCCAGCCTACCGTCGAAGAGGTCTGACTCGGCAAGCAGCGTGGACCGTGTGGCGCTCTGCGTTTCTTCCAGTACGCGCTGGACAGAGGGTGAAATGTATCGAAACACGGGAGCCTCGATGGCCGGCAGGCTCTGGGGCGCCGCGGTTCCCACTCCCTTGGTCAGCAGCCAGTCGTTCTTATACTCGATCCAGTGGTTCTTGAGGTCCCAGCTATAGCGAGGGAGATCGACGACGTGGTGAGACGCGGCAAAGTCCCGGTGGTAGTTGTTCCAGTCGATGGGCAGGCCGCGGACGTACATGGACTCGAGGGCAGAAACTATGCACTTCCACGGCGGCGTCGATTTGCGGAGAGAGGTCAGAGTGGTCGGCTCGGAGCCCAATGTGCCCTTGATCATGGCAGAGCAGGCCGGGTGAGGGCCCAGCTCGAGCCAGATGGTGCGAGGACCAACCAGCGAAGCGGCCGAAGCCGCCTCCAGTGCCCCCTGGAAGTTAACCACGCCACGGCACGCCCTGGCCAGATACTGGGCGTTAAAGACCGGCTCGTCTCGCACGACACGCTCGAGCAGTGGAGACAGGACCGGCACCTCGGGTGTGTGGTACTGGACACCCTGCGCCGCCTTCTCAAAGTCGCCAAGGATGGGATCGACCTGGGCCGTGTGGAAGGAAAAGGGAATGGCGAGCAAGACGGACTCGCTGCCCAGAGACTTGACCTTTGCAGCGAGCTTGTCGATGTTCTCCTTTGGTCCGCCGACAACGGTGCCCAGGGGTTGGTTGACGCATGTCACCTCGCAGCCCGACTCGGCGAGGAACGGCCGGACAACGTCGACGGCCTCCTTGATGGCCAGCATGGCGTGGGTGCCGGGGGTGCACGACTTTGCTAGGAGCGTTGCCCGTGTGCCCACGAGGAAGATGGCATCACTGGCACTGATGACCTTGGCACAGTAGAGCGCCGCGTATTCACCCAGGCTGTGGCCCGTGACCATGCTCGGGCGAATATTCCACGAGCTCCAGAGGCGACAGAGGGCCATTTGCACAGAAGTCAGCGCCAGGTGGCTCGCACACGTATCCACGCCGTCGAGGCTCGAGGCGGATCCGTCGACGAGGGACAAAAACGACGGGAAGCCAAGCTGCTGCGCTATGGCATCGAAGCGCACCACATCATCGCGGAACCCCGGCACCGACTGGAAGAGCTCCTGGCCTACCCCTGCGTACAAGCCTCCCTGTCCGGTAAAGACAAAGGCAACGCCTGGCACATCCACCGGGCCAGGGACGGGCTTGGGTGCCTCGGACTGGGCCCGCTGGGCGAGCTCGCGCACAATGGCGTCGACCGAGGCACCGGAGCAGGCCACCCTATAGCCGTGATGCAGCCGCCGGGCCGTGGTCGTGTAGGCGAGCGACGGCAGGGAGACGGACGGGTTCGCCTCGAGATACGACAGCATACTGCGTATGTTGGCGGCCAGCGCCGTGGCCGACTTGGCCGTGACGGTCACCAGGTGCGTGCCGCGCGGATCAAGCCCCGTGGCCTGGTCAAGCAGCGGAGCGTCTTCGAGGAGGATGGCGGTGTTGCCACCAGCTGCACTGAAGTTGTTCAGAAACACCCGTCTCGTCGCGCCAACAGAGTCCTCTCGACGCCATGGGGTAGGCTCAAGGGCAATGCGGACGTTGCGGTCGGCAAGGTCGCTGGGATAGTTTCTGTTGATGCGCGTCTTGATGCCACAATGCGGCGGAATCTCGTTGTTCTTCATCATGAGCAGCACCTTGATCATGGACACGACGCCAGACGCCGACTCGCTGTGTCCAATGTTTGCCTTGGCCGAGCCGAGATAGAGAGGCTGCGTGGTAGGGCGCTTCTTGTCCGGCAGAAAGACGGACAGCACGGAGCGCATCTCGGTGGCATCGCCGGCCTGGGTGCCGGTGCCGTGCATCTCAACGTAGCTGATGTGGTTGGGGTCGACGCCCTGATAGCGCATGACGCGTTTGAAGACGGACACCTGGTCGCCCTCGTGCGGGCGCGTAATCGACTCCGACTGGCCGCAGTGGTTGGTGTTGGCTCCCGCAATGACACCGTAGACGGGGTCTCCGTCCTCGAGGGCGTCTTCGAGACGCTTGAGGATGACGGCGCCGACGGCTTCGGCCCGGCAGTACCCGGAAGCCTCGTCGTCAAAGGTGTTGCAGTTGCCCGACTTGGCCAGGAAGTGGCCGCGGTCGAGGCCGGTGAAGATGTCGGGGTTGGTCAGGACGTTTGTGCCGCCGGCGACGGCCGTGTCGCACTCGCCCCGTAGGAGATAGCCACACGCCGACTGTATGGCGGCAAAGCTGGACGAGCACGCCGTGTCAATGCAGAGACTGGGGCCCGAGAAGCGGAAGAAGTAGCTGATGCGCCCCGGCATAAAGGCCCGCACTCCGCCCGGGATGAAATAGGTGTCGACATTCTGGCTGCTATTCACCTCTCGCCAGTCGTCGCTCGTGACGCCAAAGAAGACGCCGATGCGGTCCTGTTGCGTCGAGGGCGTCCGGTTGGGCACCATGCCGGCCATCTCCATTGCCTCGTACGTGGCGGTAATGGCCAGCCTGTGTGCCGGGTCGGTGCTGTCTGCCTCGCGGGGCGACATGTTGAAGAAGCGGGTGTCGAACAGGCCCGGCTCGTTGATGAAGCAGCCATGCTTGACGCGGTTGGTGTTCCGCCCCTTGCCCGTGGGATCATGGTACGTTTCCCAGTTGAAGCGCTCCTTGGGAATCTCGCGGTGCACGTCTCGGCCAGCCCGGAGGAGGTTCCAGAGCTCGTCGTTGGACGGCGCCTCGGGATATCGACCAGAGAAGCCGACAATGGCAATTTTGGACTGGTCAAACCGCCCCGTGGGCCCCTGGGGCTGCTGCTTCGGCGTCGAAATCATGTTTTGCACAGCCACCTCGAAGCTCGTCTCGTGGGCCAGGTACGAAGACAGCTGCGTCGTGGCATTGCAGTAGAAGGGGCAGATGACGCATCGGTCCACCTGCAGCTCACCCAGCGCTGCGGCGGTTGCGGCGAGGACCTCTTCCCACTTGACCACCTGTTGCAGCACACCCATGCTGGCTACCCGGAGCAAGCCTTGCAAGTCGGTCGCCTCGACAGCTTCACCGCTGGAGCCGGACAGAAGGGGCATCTGTGGTTTGGTCCACTGAAGCGCAGCCTCTGGATACCCAGCCAGCGTAAAGTCGACATCGCCGTCGCTGAAGAGGTGGGCGGCGTGAAACGGCGACTCGATGGACAGCCGGTGAGACTGGAGGCTGTTTTCCTCGAGGAACTGGTCCAGGACATCAGGTGGGCCACTGATGGTCGTGTTAGTCGGTGAGGTGGCGCTGATGTATATCCTAGACGGGCCGCCACGGGAGAGCTTTTGTTGCGTCAGTCGTGCCCTTGATAATGGGGGGGGGAATTGGATAACCAACCTTCTTCTCCTTGGCACTGTTGACCAGCTGCTCCACTGGCTTGTTCCGCAAGACGACGGCGGACCAAGACTTGTCACCTGTCGTGGTGATGATGCTCCGTTGCAGCAAGGAGCGGAGCGCGGTCCGAAACGCGACCCTAGTGGCCTCGACTCCTGCGAGAACGACCTCGGACATAGATCGCGAGACGCAAATGGCGGAGGCGGCAAACGAGCCGGTGCAGCTGCCCAGTAGCAATGTGTTTTCAGACCGAGGAAACGGCCTGTCCTTTGCGAAGCTTGGGGCAAAGAAGTGTTAGGTCTGGCTTGCATGTATCAGGCGCAGCGTCCACAACTTACTGGATAAATTTCGCCAATTGACAGACAGTCATGAGACAAAACTGGAGGACCGGTGCCCCCTCGGTTTCGCCGAGCCGGGCCACTAGGTCGATGAGAGTGGTGAAGCGGGGGAACATATCTTGGACGGCCGACGAGTGCCGTCCCAGTTCCTCTCGCAGGCTAAAAGCCACCCTCTCGAAAAAGGATGTCAAGGCCTCATCTTGACTGACGTGGAGCAGCCGGTTGAGGTCGGCCTCGAAGCTGGCTGTGAGGTCTCCAAAGAGCAACAACTCGGCCGTCTTACTCGTCTCGTTGGTGTTAGTGGTGGGCGCCATTGTATGATTTTTCCTCATTAAGAATAAGGCGATCTAAACGATCACCGGTACCTGATGCCGAGAAGACGGTGTTTCTAAAAGATGACTCAGGGCCTGATGCTGAGATGAGAATGGAAAGGCTGTTCGGAAAAGGGAGCCCGAAGTGAGTGAAAGGATGTCGTGGATTAGGAGGATGCGGTCATTAAGTGGTTTGGCAGTTTCCCAAGACTTGACTTGCAAGATGTCGAATGTAAAGACGGCGAGGCGGCATACTTCTTTTAACCTCATCTCACGGAGCCGAGGCAGCATACGCCCTCTACAGCCGTTCGCACGAAGCGATAGAGTGGCCTTGGAATATTCCCGAGGTTTGTCAAAACGGCATGCCGAGAACAATGCAACGTCTCGAGATTGTTTCAGTCTTCGCATGGCCCGGATGTGAATCGGTGCCCTCTACACCTAGAGGATTTTCAATCAGACAGATCGAGGCCTCGCCCGCGCTGCGCCGACCTGTGGGCGTTTTGCGGGTTTCATCAGTGTCGCCGCGACCCTCTCGCAAGATGTCAACGCGATTGGTCGAGAGTACTCTATCAAGCTTGTTTCAAATTCCCTTCAGGGGACGGCAGATATCGAGAGCCGAGATTTAGTGCGAACGGCCAGACCAGTTCGAGGGTGGGTCTACCGTTCAATGCGCACGGCTTGACCACATGTGTAATGCTCCGTTTATATTATGCGGAATCCATACGAACAACGATTGCGGGTGACGACGTATCTCCTGGCGGTGACACCCTCGCAGTTGCAGCTACGGTCCAGCCATGACAGAAGCTATTCAGATGCAACTTCCAACCTCGGGGTTTCGGTGGACATGTGGGATGATGGTGTGGAATCTGCGGATGGCTACTCCTTGATCTACGAGCGGATTGCCGCCACTATTCCCCATTTGCCCCTGGCATCTCCACAGGGCCATCTAAAGTTAGTTCGCTTGGGTAGTTTGACGACGTGCCGCATGCCAATCGGCGCTGCCAGGCGGTGGCTGACAGGTGGGCGGCCGATGGGACTCCCGAGCAACGAACCCAATGCTTAGGCAATCTTCTTGCCCGCGGAGCCCTTCGCGATCTCCAACCAAACGGGCAAACATAGGGCAGTGCAGCCAATCGCAACCAAGTACGGAGATCAATCATAGCTTACACAGGTGACAGGCCCAAGACGGGGCGGACACGGAGCAATCCAGACGCCGCTCAACGCCACTCTTGCCCCCAAAAGTATGGCATTCGGGCATTTACCTAGAAAGGTAACGTGGTTGCGAGAAACTGCAAGACTTGTCACGCAACCGAGGACTCACGCTCCCATTACTTAGCCCAAGGCGGGCCACAACGTCAATCAGTGCAGCACGGCGAGCTGACGAAATACTGCGGCACGAGGCTCACATCAAGTTTTTGGTATTTGGCCCAGGTCTGCTGATTACAATGCCTTGTGCCTAGTTGATTTCATGCCAAACCCCCCTAAATGGTGCAGGCATCGTAGCCTCGCGAGGCTCGGAGACGATGCCGAAGAGACAACAGACCAAGGCATCGTAGCCTCGCCCACATTACGCCTCCCCGTTATCAGGCTCCCAGTTTCAACACTCTTTGCAGCCCCTTTATTCCCAAATAATTTGAAACGCTCACGTCCGCGTCCTTGGCACGCCAGGGTGGGTGTTTAGTGTGCTCGTTTTGAAATCTCGGCAAAAGACGTTGCCACGGAAGCAGCGATTCCAATGGGAAAAGAGTATATAATCCCGCCTCTGACGTGCGGGTTTAGGGTGAAACAACAAAGGGGGTGCTAAATACGATCAGCTTTGACATGGCCGCTTTGCCTCGCCTTTCTACACCCTCTGACACATCCCAGTCTCGAAAACTATCGGCCTGACAGGCACTTCTAGAATATAGCCTGAAACCGTCGGCACAGAGGATTGGTATGTATGCCGGCGCACCGTCAGAGGAAAGTTTCGTCCAGGATGACAACTAGCTGGCTATGACGGAGCCGAGAAGCGGCATGCATTGATCCGACTCCTCCTGTGACGTGTTCGGCATTGTGATTGTAGAGGTAGTGGTTGGCTCGCCTTTTGAGTAGACAGCCAATCGCTTCTTGAGTCATCCAGCCAAGTGTCCGTGGTTAATATTATAACACTCTACCCGGGTCCTGGATAGCAGCTGCTCTTGCTCCTGTCACAACAATCCAGATTTGCCAACACGCCACCACAGGGCGACGACATGAAGCGTGATGGCAGCATGGCGTCGAGATGGAATATGCACATTCGACGCAACGAATCTTCGCCGGGGCGGCCAAGCGCCGAGCCGCCCTCGGCCGTCGCCCAAGTCGACGTCTTCATGTGTCTGCCGGCCGACACAGTGAAGGGGGCTTCGCTAGTCGACGACGTTTCCTTTATACTACCCATCACGTCGACCATCGGCCAGGCTCGCCAGCCACAAACCATCACGTTATCAAGAGCCACGCCATCTAATACCCGGCAACCATCGTCAACGCCCATGGCGGACATGGTGGCGGCAAGCATGACGCCGGCCATGGTCGACTCAGGGGCGAACGCGCAAAATCAAGCCAATGCCGGCATGGGAGCGCCAGCGGCTGCCACCATGATGCCTGCCGCCGCTTCCATGGCTTCGAACTCTCGAGCAGCAAGCTCGATGCAACAGGCGGGGCAGGTTGGAGCGGCCGTCGCCCCGATGGAGCCCATGATGATCGATCCGGCAAACGGACCGTTCCTGGGAGGAACTCCTACTTCCACGGACGACGTGCTCCTCACGGTCATCTTCCTCATTCTCTTTGCCCTGGGCGCTTTCACGCACATTTCCATCTACCGCGCAAACGCCAAGCGCGGCCATAAGTTTCTGCTGTCGGATCTCGTCTTCGATTTCTGCATGGTCCGAGCGGTGACCTGCATATTCCGCATCATCTGGGCCTTTTTCAGTCCGCGCGGCATAATACTGGTGGCGTTAATCTTTGAAAACGGCGGGTAAGTTCTCCATCTGCCCAAGCGCGGCACGAGCCCATCGTTAACGCATCACAGCGCCGTTGTCGTCTTTGCCGTCAACTTATTCTTCGCCCAGCGCATCGTCCGGGCCATGCATCCGCGCATCGGCTGGCACCCGGCGTTTGGATACTTTTCCCTCTTCCTCATCTTTTCCGTTCCAGCCATCGTCGTCATGAACATTGCCGTCATTTCCGTCAGCTTCTTTAGTGTCGGCAAGATGGCCCGGCTACAGGCTACCGAGGAAGCACTCAAGTTCGGGGCCTCATGGAACCTGATGTTGAGCGTCATGCCCCTTGTTCTAGTCTTCCTCGCCGCTGCCATGCCGGGACCACCGCCCGAGAACTTTGGCAGCGGCGAATTGCGGTGCAAGTCTACCGTGCTAGTTTTCAGTGCCGTGACCCTGGCGGTCGGGGCGGCTGTGCGGCTCGCAGCCTTGACGAATCCCGAGGCTGGGTTGGCAATGTCGCCGTTGTTCAGCAAAGCCGTATTTTACGCCACTGGCTTCATGCTCGAGATTTTGACCGTCGTCGCATACGCCTACTTTCGCGTCGATTTACTCTTTCATATCCCCAACGGAGCCAGCAGACCTGGGGACTATTCGGCCGGCTCAGGGGATAAAATTCTTGGGGCCCAGTCGTGGTCTGCACGTGAGATTGAGAACGAATTTGCCAGGCTCGGAATCCGCTACGAGCGTCTAAGGGGCTCCGGGGGATCCCAAAACAACGAGTTCATTGCTATATTCTATCCGGCTTCCAACCAACCAGACATGTCAGGTGGCCTACCAGGTTCGCGAGGAACCGACTTTCAGTACGGGGATGCAGAGTTGTCGCCGAGAAACGTCACGAGAGTAGGCCGAAGGCAGACCATTATGGAATCTGTCAGGCCGCCGCGACCGCAGAGACCGACCAGTGAGACTTTCTACATGACTGAAAAGTTACCTCCCAGTCAGTTTGACGACTGAAGCTACCGGTATTGATGGGTGGTTGGTTGCGTCCGACGTTTACGGGTAGCAATAACGAAACACCAACATATCCGTGTCTTCATTTTATGGTAGACCACATATGGCTGGTAAAAACAAGCCATTTCTATTAATTAAGGCATAAATTTGTAATCTTGAGCTGAGCTCTAGTATAGCATATCTATAAAAAGCACTTTATACGTCGAGTCGTTGCCCTGACTAAACATGAGCAGCATATTACTACTTGCTCCCAGGAGGCGGGTGTAATAGCTTCCAGACAACACGGTGCTTAACCTATTAGAGTTGATTTTCACCACAACTTCCCAAGCAACCCAAAGATTCCCGAGTAAAGGTTTCCTCTAGAGGCTTCCTGATCGAAAGCGTCATCTGCCAAAGTGCAACCTGCTTTCATTCGGTTTCATCCTATGCTGGATTTGGCGAGGGAACCTTATTACGCCCAGTGCATTGCCCGGTCACAGGCGGCTAGCCAAACAGAGGGTAGTCTAAGCTTCGGAGGCGGTACTGCCTCGCCTGCTACCAGTCGGGGGCTAACTTTGATGGATCAACCTGTCACACAGCGCGTGAGAGGCGCTCGGGACGAAGATTTCTAGCGAATCGGCAATGCCTAATCCCAGAAGCCCGGTACTAGCTGCCGGACCAATCGTGATTGCGTAGCGTCATCGCCCTCGTTCGCACTATTTCTTGGCAGGGGGATTTGCCGGCGGAGCGGATCCTCGGAGAACCTGAAACTACGAGGACCACATTATCTGTCACCCCCGCGGACCCCTTACCGGGGTTTCTACCACTTTTGGTGACTGGTACGATGGAAATAGGCCTGAAAGGACCGTGCCATCGAGTCCTGAAGATACCGAGGCGGGGACGGACCCGGATATCGACGTTGCCGCTGAATGAGAAGCGCTGCGAACATTGTTGAAACTCGAAAAGCAGGCGTAGAGCGGGGTAACAATGGTGAGATTGCACCAAGATATTTGCTTGGACCTTTTGCTATGGGATTCTTCAGGCCTGTGTAGGTGTGCCCTGAAGCCCCCCAGGCTCTCTTGGTGATTGTACCGAATTATACCCTGAATTCCTCTATTCCTCGGAGGGGTCGAGCCGCATTTTTGAAAGGATCCTCCCTGTCTGGATTTTCATGTATTCCATTGCATCTCCACATGCCGCGGCTTGTTATTATTTTATATCCTTCCTCGCGGGAAGGCGCCAGGGGGGGGGGGGTTTTTGGGGCAAGGGGGTCAGAGGCGTCCGGATGTTTATGCCATTCGAGCAAGCAATTGAGGCTGACAAAATAGAGAGATTCAGGCTTGAAAGTCCGAGTCGTTTGTATCGCCGCCAGTGGTATCGACAGCCCTAGTAACAATTCCCGCTGCGACCCAAAAGTCATCGGTGGCCCTGCCCTCGTATGCGGCAAGCTGCAATTGGCCTGAGTCTCGTCTCAGTGTTTGATTTTCATCCTCGACCATCTCTTCCCGAAGACGCAGATATCTTGCTCTATTCTAGTCAAGATTTCGTCCTATCTATATCAGGGTGGTTTTCCATACATGGAAAGGCCTGCAATCGATAATCGGTATCGGCCCCACATTTATTGCAAGTATTGCAATACACCTTTCCATACTTGGTCCGTGCACGACGACAAAATGTCACTGAAGACACCTTCGACAAGATGGACAAATTCACACCATATGGTGAATTAAAAATACGAAGTAATTGATTGAGCTCAATGATAATGTCCAAAAAGAGAGGGTAGGCAAATCTTACGTGTTTTGTTCCAAGACGAGGAGGAAATCAGACGGGAATTTGCACGAATTCTCACGCCACGGTCACGCCACCGCCCCTTCCCTCTTCAAGACATTGTTCTTCACCCAATGCTTCAACCAATTCTCCTTTTCAATTTGGTCCGCATCCAATTGTGCCCTTTCCCAGGAGATCGTACGACGAGCCTGAAAACACCCGTTCCGGCTCGTCGCTCATCGCTGGCATTGATAGGATGTCTATTGCCATTCGTGATAACTTCGGCCGTCGGTTCCTATGTCGCTCTTGAAGCCACCATGATAAAGCAGTTGTTGGCGCAATCTCATATGGATCACCTGAGATGTAATCTTCATACTCGTCTTGACTTGTAGGTCGAGCACAATTCTGCAGATTTCTTGAAATACGATCAAATGCATCAAGGCCATTGTCTTCTTCTTCGTCCAGTACATGATACGAAATTGTACCGTCGTTTGTATTTCGGTAAGAGTAGCAAAGGTCTTTGACCCGTTTGAAAGCAGTTTTATGCCACTTCTTCTAATTTGAGTGGATGTACGTCGTGCGATAGCTTGGATGAAGGACCAAAGAAGCGGCGTAATAGGGCGAATTCTCTTTATTGATAATTTCTTGGTCAAGGTAGCCTTTGAAGACACGGCCCAGATCCCACGCTTGCCCGTAGAGTTGATCAAATCCTTCGATGATGGACGGTTGAAGAGGAGATAAATTCTCTGCGACGTTGATGACATACTTTCTTGCCCTCAGGGTGTTTTCGAAAGCTGGCGGTGACAGAAGTACTGTAGGGATCATTCTGGGGACAATAAAGATAATATATGAGGCGGTTCCTGCCTTTGAACTCCGCTTCCCCTAACCCTTTTACTACCGGTACATTACTGCCAGATGAGCATGTTTTCATGATCCAAAAGCAGGTTTTCTCTTGTCTTGGGAGATATAGACGCGAATGAATCCGAAGCAATGGATTCAGAATCGAAGAAACATAACTAACACAGGCTCAGAATCCATTGTCGCCAGGTGATAATGGTATGCTGTGGGTTGGTGGTGAGGCTGATTTTGTGGATGTGCGGATTTGTAGCGGGGGTTCCAGGCCCACAGCCCCTGTAGGTAGCCCCCTGTAGGAACCCTTGTTAGTGGCGTGGTTCAGCCAATAGTATGGAAATACATGGATCCATATCCATACCTATTCCATGCCATTCATGGAAGGCCCCCTTTCCGCTCCCTGTGCCCGATTTTTAGTCTCCCTGTGCACCTTACCGTATTAGGTAGAAGCATCGCGAATCGGCCAAGACTTGCATTTGTGTGTGCAACACACCAATTACTGTAGAAGGTGGTCACGGATTGTAGAGTCTTTGCGTTGAACATTATGAATTTGAAGCTATTCGCACATTTCCTCCATATCTTCTAGCCGCATTACAAGCTCATACGGCTGCCGCATTGCGTGGCCTCTTTTCCGCCGTGGTGAGCGTTCCCCCCTTTCCTCTAACTGTAGCGTTACTTATCTGCGAAGCCGGGAGCGGCATAAATCCTCCTTCCACTGATGTAAGGGTGCTAGAAAGAGGGGTCGAGGACCCAAGGGTAAAGAGACGAGGGCGCTCGCGATGCCCCCGTTGAGACCCTCCTTGACGCGGCGGCCGCGGCGGCTCGTGATATTCGAAGGCCGAGGGGTAGCCGCCGCATAAGTTGGGTGGCAGACTCTGAGCGCCGGAAAGTCTGCGGTTGCTGGTATGAGGTCGGCTGTGTAGGCGTTTGACGGATCACGATGTCGGCTTGTGGTGTTGACGCTGCTTGTGGTGTTGACACCGACCACGAAGCTATAGCCGGCCCAATGCCAAGGTAGTTGCCAATAGCCTCAAGCCGCGCAAGCACTGTCTGCAAGACTGGCTGCCGCTGTTGCTGTTGCCCGCGAGGCTGTGACTGTTGCGAAGCTGGTGAGGTAGCTGCTGCTGCCGCTGCTGACGAGGCCACAGGTGCAGTTACAGCGGCTGTTGCAACGGCTGCAGTCGTGGCCACAGGTGCGAAGGCTATGGCTCTGGCTGGTCTGCGGCGCCGGGCAATGACTCGAGGATCGCGAATTCGTCTGTATGGGTCTGTGACAGCAAGATCCTGCCGTAGAAGCCAGTGGTTGTCCCACAAGTTCAAGGGCAAGGGTCTTGTAGCTATAACTTTGCGGCTAGTCCCCTCCCCTTGGACCTGGAGGTACGAGGCGATAATATGCTTGCAGGGCAGCCCGTATTGGGCAGTGAAGCTATTCCCACATTCCCAAGTGGCCGCTCTTGTGGTTTGAGGAGGCCGGCCGAGGCGGCTAGTGCCTGTTTCTGTACAAGCTCGAGAGACGGATATGACGCCTTCTCGACGGCTTCCTCATATAATGGTAGCCGGAACAGGTCGCGAGTCCGTCGTGATTCGCGCTCAACGGTCCGATCATGGTGTTCTCGTGAGGTTGAGGCTTGTAGTTGCAAGGCATGATATAATTCAAGCAGGTTCGACTGGCCGTTGCGAAGGAAGGTGCGAGAGCTTGAGTGAAGGGATTCACAAGGCGAGGTCGTTGTGTGGCCCCAGTTGCGGTAACGGCAGACCCAAGCGCGCGCCCATTGCGTTCGTACAGGCATCCAGACCTCTTCCACATACCTAAGAATAATGTGCTGGTCTGAGAAGGCGCCTTGACGATGCCCCAGCGGCTGTTGAACTCGTCCTCGGTCGGGGCATACACTACGGACCGGAAGGCTGTTGTGAAGGCACAGGGCCTCTTTTTCCGGCAGTGGCTCCGGTAGCTGCAGAGCGCCCGGGGTCTTCATCGTCTTGGGGCTCTTGCGGCGGGTCAAATGGGTCGTCATCGTCATAGTCGCCAAGCCAGCGCTTCTTCGCGTTTGTAGTGATGTTCTTCATGATATGCCACGTACAGACCTGTAGCTGTGAGTCCGGGAAGGTAGCCGTCAATGCAGCGCGCAGCAGCGTCATAGTCAGTGATGATAACGTGTGGGATAAAGGCATTGCCGTCAGCCTCGCCTCTTAGCCTTGCCTTTGACTGTAACCACTCGCGAAGCTGTATAAAACACCAGGTAAATGCGTTTGTGTCTTCGGAAGGACTAAACAGAAAGCCACAGGAAGATAGAGCCCAAGGCAGTGATTCCATTGATCTCTAGCAGCTTGAGGCCATATCTATTCGTGTTGTTCGTTACGTCGGCCATCATAAGGTGTGAATGTTGTGCCCAAAGCCGCAAGGCAGGGTCAAGGCCCACAATCTGGTAGAAGAAGCGATCCTCATCGTCAAGTAGCTCTTTATGGAAGGCACCTTCCTCGTCGAGCCTGGCAATAAGCGCTTGTGTGGATGTATGTGCCCCAAGCTCCCGGAGACGAAGCCGGGCACAGATATTCGCGATGTCTTGCTCTGTTGCAGTAGCCGCGGGCTCTTAGCCCGAAGAGCAAGAAGGATCTGCCGCGCCGTTAAGCCAGCATCGCGAGATAAGTCTTTAACCTGCTGGAGTTGATGTGGATGAAGGCGCCGGTATTCTGGGAAGGCGCCGGCCCTATTGGCCTCATGGTTGTGCCTTGGGCACATCACAGAGATCCGCCAGAGGTCTCCCTCTAGCTTCAGGCGCACAACCTTGACTCTAAACGGGCAGGAAGTCCGCCTGGTGCCAGTCTTCCGGAGTCCTAACGAGGCTGACTTGTATTCACGGCCGCCGCATGCGCATACGATGTCGTAACGGCGTGGAGCCCATGTTCGTAGTTGCTTGGCTTGAACTTAACTATGGCGTAGCCTTGGCAGCGCGCATGCCGCTGGAGCTCGTCAAACGCATCGTCAAAGGTCTCAAAGAGTGGCATATTGTTTGGCGGGGGCTGGAGAAGCATCTTGGAGAAAGAACGGGTTGATTAGCTGCTTTGTGGCGGTTGTGTGCCTCTGGAAACTTAGCTACGCAGACGCGATGTGGTATTGCGAGGTGGGTGGTTATCACGAGTTATTTTGGCTTGCGGTGTTGTACCAGGAGGCACTGCTTGCCGCGACGCCAATTGTGTGTATTATGTGTGTTACGCGTCTACGTGTGGAGTCTTGCCAAGTACGGTAAGGTGCACAGGGAGACTAAAAATCGGGCACAGGGAGCGGAAAGGGGGCCTTCATGGAAAGGGTATTTCCATATTTAGATATGGAAAACCACCCTGATCTATATCAACCCAATCTTTTCGATCGTCTCAAGCCTTGAGCTTGCCTTCGGCATCCCCTGCGCAGATATGAATACAATCCTTACGGCAACCAGACGGTCCTCACAAACGCGTTTCCCTACAATATCCATTGGGATAAATACATTCAGATGTGGTCGGTTGTCATCCTGCGCTTTCCCTTTGAGAGTGTCTTGTTGGTGCCCCTGGCTCCGGTTCATCATCAGGTCGGTATAAAACAGAGCGAGGGCCAGACTCGCTCGGCGATGGGGACGGCACATGCCCGTACGTACACCAATCAAGACAAAGGAGGCGCCATGACCGTGAGAGCCGGGGACCCACCCGGACGGACCTGGCGGCACTGGCCGAGATGGAGTGTAACAGCTCAGGGGGCCGGCCATCTTGCATCCGAATTCCCACTTTTGTAGGAACTCTTCTTTCCAAAGGCACCGGCGGGCCTCCTTGATAGTGTTAGACGAGTGGGGACAAAATGATGGGTCAAGACGTCATCACTCCAAGCCTCTTAACAGCACCTACTCACTACCTTGACATCGAGAGCGAGCATAGCCAACAGGGGGGCAACGTCATGGCGGAACCAGGGTCAGATGGGTCCCGGTGCTTGATCTTGATGTCGGGTAAATGATGCAGCAGGGACGCGTGGTTCCCCAGTCGCTATATTTGCAATTGTCTGATTTTCCCTTCAATCCTACACATCTGGATGCTTGTACGCTTATATGGTTTTGTGACTCTGTGGGTAATAAGCGATGTGTAGACCCAGTTTCTCCCGACCGTAATGTTTCCGTTGGGACACTTTTCTGTACATGCCGCCACGGATAGACATTTGGATGCGAATGGGTCAACAGACGCGCATCAATTACTGCTCTCGTAATCGACTCTTAGTATCCCTTGAATCATCTCTGCTACGATCTCGGCCTTCGAATCTACAGCGGCGAGATCCTAAGCTTTCGACTCTTTGGAAAATCCTTCACTCTTGAGCCCCCATCTAGAAACCTTGGATTAAAATTAGCATCCATTACCGCGCTCTTCTAATATATACTTCATCTCTCCCCAATTAAGCATCTTCAGGGTCGATCCTCCGGGCGTTGAGCAATTGCCCTGGAAAAAACGTCTGTAATGCCCAGGGAAAATCGGTTGCTGGGGTGCAGAGTGCTACAGGTGTTCCTAGCAGTTTGCTTGGGAGGGGTGATTTGCGAGATATCCAGATGCTCCAGCGATCTGCACAGGTATAGAAACAGAGATATATATCTCCAGCCGTCGAGTCCAAGTTTGTTCTTCTTGAGCACAACGCGCTCCACCACGCCTTGCACCTCGGGAGTCTGTTTCCGCTTCTCGCACCACGAGCCAGGCGATCGTTTGACAGCCAAGAGGCCCGCAAGAATAATTCGCAATCCTTCGTCACTCAATCCGCAGTTTTCAAGAACGATCTCCGTAACGGGAAATATTGCAAGATAGTCGCCCAACGTAACGATATCCGGCAGCTGTAGCCAGCAATCGGTCAAATCCAGTCTCTTCACGGCGCCCGTCGTCGGGCATAAATTTGCGCCATTTGTAAGCTGCGCAGTAATCTTCTTGAGAATGGATGTTTCGCGTAACTTGCAACATCGGCGGTATATCCTTACCGCGTCCGTGATAGGTCGTGACGTTGTGTTGCCAGCTTGAGGCGTTCCGGTATAGCCGTGATTCTCGGTGGACGAGTTGCTGATGTTATTATAGACCTCAACGGGGACCAAACCATGTTCCTCGGCAACTCGACGGTGCCTTTTTCGCCTCTCCTCTCTCTTCTCTCTCCTATAGATGATGTCTTTGTCGTACTTGGCGGGCTCGCTCAGGCTGCCATCGGTTCCCTGTACCACACCAGGGCCTTCTGGTGCTTCTCCAACGTCGTTAACCATAAGGTTCTTAGGTTTCTGAGCGGTTTTTGCGTCGGCGTACACCGGCATTGGCGCAATCTCAACATCGACGCAAAACGACACTCGTTTTAGCCGAGTTTTGTCGAATCCCGGAACGAGACATCCATTCCTGCCTTCGTTGACATTTAGCGCCCTGAGCTCAACAAGACCATGACTTTGTTTTCGACTCGTGAGGCTGCTGCTTCTCAGTGTCGACAGCCGTCTAAAGACGTCGGATATATAGGCGTGGCTTGACTTGGATGATGATAGTGTAGATCTCTTTCGGCCTTGAGACATGTCATGGGAGGGCATTCTATCCCACAGAGATTGGGCGGTGATTTACTCCCTGGACTAGGATTGCGGCGGCAACAGATGATGGGTAGAGCCTGCGTCTCCTTATGCTGAGCGAACAGAGGTAGCTCCTCCTCCTAATGGTCAAGAGGGCGATTAGAGTGGTGGTGTGACCGCGAATCGCCAAGGGGAAACTCAAGGAGCTTAAGACTTTTGTCGAGTCATTCAAGATCTTTGAGTCTGGCCGCCGAGGTAACGACCCTTAAAGAAGAATTTGCTAACAACGACAGATTATACGACTGTCTGAGCGTTCTTCAGGGTCCATCGGAGAATGGAAATGCGGGGCTAGGCCCAGGTAGCTTAGATACGAAGAATCTGTCTAAAGTTTGGCGTTACGGACGGAGTCCTTCATTTCAGACAGAAGCCGACAAGTTTGAGGATATCGCTTTCCCCGTTCCTTTGCTAAGTCTAGTTCCCGTATCAAAGCTAGCCTCTTTCTTATTTACTCGTGCTCGCGTTAGTTGTAATAGATACGTAAAAACAGTTCCTTAAAAGCTGTCAAGAAGTGAGACCTGAGTGGGCACAGGTTGTGGTCGCGCCATCGACCCCCCTCGGCCACGCACGGCGCTGGTGCACGTACGCGACAAAAGGTAACGAATTGACTAAGCCGCCCGCTTGTCAATTAACCACACTTATCAACAGGCTAGGCTTTGCCTAGCCCCTTACAAAAGCTATAAAAACCAAGAGGACGGCGGCCGGGGAACGAATCGACCGTATTGCAAAACCAGTTACGCGGAGGCTACAGCGAAATTTGCGTGCAGGGGCCAAGAATAGAGTGTTTGAAAGGCAAAATCGGAAACCCCTTTAGTCTCTAAGTATAACGTCGGCATTTAATATTACACAAGGCGCCCGAGCGCGCCCCACGTATAACAGTACGCTTCTGGTTTGGCCCGTGCCACATACACTCTAACAATACAGAGGAGCAATATTCCCGTTTGGGACGGTTCGTCTCCGGCGTCATTGTCTCCCTAAGTTTAAGTGGTCGTGCGCAAGGGGCTCCTATCCCCCAAGACGGAACCGTATGCGGCCGAGTTTATAGAGAGGGGTGGATATGCTCTAGCGAACTTGCGATTGGCGAGCTGGCCATCGGAGGTCGGATACGGAGTAGTAACGCCCGAGGCACGGCTGGATGGCTCAATAAACTGGAAAGTAAAGGAACAGTAGCACCCGAAGTGCCACCAGAATAACATTGTTTAAGGCGAAAAAAAGTCATCCGCCAGGGCCGAAGAAGTGCTGACCGCAGCAATGATATCTAGTAGCAGTAGATAGAAAACGCTCCTCCTAGCCCGGAAAGTGCTCCACGAATCCCATGCCGACATTTTCAGAGTAAAAGTAGTTTTAATAGAATAACGGGAGGCATTAATAACTGGAGAAAGGTATATAACACGCAATTTATTTAGCATAAAAATCCACGACTCTAACAGATGAAGAAATAAAGGCTACGTAGAAACCAGTAGACGTAACGAGGCCGGTAAAGGGGAGCTTAATGCTGTCGTCAGGAGCCGGTTTGGCACCTTTAACTACGAATAGACGAGCCCCCTTCCGTAGCTTTCCCGCCGTTACTTGAGATCTACAGTACATTAGTGTTATGCATGGCTGGGTACCTGTTATGCGGTTTTAGGAGTCTGGCAGATCATAGGTATTCTTGTAGCTCGACCTCGTAGTATTTCTCTCTCTGCCATAGTCGCCTTTTTAAAGCCCAGCTCGGTGAACTACGTAGTTTATGGAGGGTGAAAATGAACCCAGGACGTACGTTTGCTCTGGAACTTCGTAACAAAGGATGTCGCGAGCACCTATAACTTAAAACCCGCGCACGGTTGACAGCCTAGGGAGACTTGATCCTATCGCCAGATATGGCGCATCGAGAAGATAGAGAAGGAGTTGGGCCAGACCAAGGGGGTAAGATGCTACTTGAAGATTGTGGCAAGAAGCGGTTTCACCGCACAGCCACTAGATAACTATAGTTCTCGGCGAGTCGATTATCCGATCGCAACTGCTGCTACCACAGAGTGTGATTGTCAAGCCCGCGGAGTTATCAAAGGTCTTTTTTTGGGTATCCGAAGTTATAATGCTTGATAAGTACAAGTGATGCCCTACTTTTTTACGTCTTCTCTTCTGAACACATTATAATCTCTATCATTCCATATCCAGTCAGCAGTAAGCTCTCGCATCTTTATACAGGCTCTTATAGCCCTTTTAATTACTTCCTGTTATTCATAAAGACAGATATCCTCACCCGCCCAAATTACCAAACATAAAAAAAATGAAAACTACTGGATCCGTTGGACTTTTTCTTGCTCTCGCAGCCACACTTGTCGCCTCGGCACCAACTGGGCTCCACGCTCGAGGTACGATCAGTCCTCCTCTCCCCGTCTGCATGTCTTCAAGTTACTATGTGTGCTAATCTGCTCGTACTGTAGTTGCTAAGAAGGATGGAGGTGGTGGCGGCGGCGCCGAACTAGCCATGGGCATTATCTCGGGTGATCCCGCGGCAATTGTAAAAGGTTCCCAAGACATACAAGCCGAAAAGCAGGGCAAGAAGCAGAGTCAAGCCCAGCAGCAAGCTGGTACTGCGGCCCCTCCTGCCGCCGCCGCTTCTCCGGCTGCTGCTCCTCCGGCCGCTGCTCCTCCTCCTCCTGCTGCTGCTGCTGCTGCTGCTCCTCTTGCCGCCGCTGCTCCTCTTGCTGCCGCTGCTCCTGCCGCCGCCGCTCCTCCTGCTTCCGCCCCTCTCGCCGTCGCTCCTCCCGCCGTCGCCGCTCCTGCCGCCGCTCCTCTTGCCGCCGCTCTTCCGGCTGCTGCTGCTCCTCCGGCTGCTCCTCCTGCCGCCGCCGCTGCTCCTGCTGCCGCTGCTCTCGCTGCTGCTGCCGCTCCTCTTGCTGCCGGCGCTCCTGCTGCTCCTGCTGCTGCCGCTCCTGCCACGGGTAAACCTGCTGCTTAGTATAGCGACCAAGAGGCTGTCATAACGGACTGCCAGGCTGGTCCTGTCTATTCAGGTGATTTAGAGTACCGAGGTAGATCAAATCGGATTATAAGGATAATTAGTTTTTTTAAGATGAGCTTTATATATAAAAGCTGTGCCTAAAGGTTACTAATATCCCGTATTAGTCTCTTAGACTACCTATTCCTATACTAATTTAATTTGGCATACCATATTAGCGAGCCGTTACTTTTAAACGTAATAATATTGTCGTGAAGCGTGGCCTGATTTCGCAGCTCTCGGAGATATCCCTAGGCAAGAGGGATCAAGGAAGCTGAAAACAACCGGTATAGAAAAAGGAAGAAGGAGCTGAAAAGAGGTGCAGAAAGGAGGGTGGGGGAGAGAGGGGAAGCAGAAGTGGCGATAGCTTCCTATAGAGGTAGCGAGAGATAAGACGGATATGCCGACAACGGGCTGGAAAAGAGGGGGAAAACCCCAGCAAAAGGCTCGGTATTTAGTCAGACACCAAGGGCTCCTTTGAGCAGGATTTCCTTTGTTAATTGGGATGCTAGAAGGATATAAAGAGAGGCGTTAGATAGAGGAAAGAAGGACAATCAAGGGAATATAACAATCACTCCCCTATCACAATTATTGCCCTCTAAAGATTCAAAACAGCTTTGCCCTGCCGGTCTTACCCCTTTCTGCTAATTTTACCTTCGTGCATTTTATATGTACTCCTCGCATCTCTATTCGCGAGATTAATCGGATATTAAGGACTTAGCTAAAAAGGATTTTCTTTATTAATTAGGATATTAAAGGGATATAAAGTCGAGGGTTAGATAGAAGAAAAAAAGAAGGTTAAAGCAATATAATAATTTATTCTCTATCGCTATTATTATCCTTAAAATATTTAAATAACTTTACCTTTCCTATCTAACCCCTTATTATTAATTTTACTTTAATAAATTTTATATATACTTTTTATATCTCTCTTTATAAGAGTTATAAGCCTAAAAGGAATAGAATTCTTATACCTTTTACTGCTATAGAAAGTATATTTCCTTTTTCTTTTTTTTATTCTTTCTTTTAAAACCTTATTTTTCTACCTTTCTTATATAATAATATTAAGAACTAACTTCTATTTTACCTCTTATAGTACTTCCGTCTAGTTTCTTTTTTAGCGGAGGCACTTTATCGCTTATAGTATCGCTTCTAGACTTAAGGTGATTACTTAGCTGCTCGCTAAATATTTTTTTCCGCGCTACGAAATCGTTGTAATGCGATTTTTTCCGCTTCCTAATACTGTCGTGATACTCCTTAGACGCCTCTCAAGCCCTTCGCTCTAGATCCGGGATTACCCGGTTTCCTCACTGCTGTCTTGCCTGGTTCCTCCAACACGAGTATATCTGCCGGAGCTATATTAGGTCCGTTGTCCACTATCGCTTCGCATACGGCGATGGCCTCGCTCGAGGCGTAGTCATATAACTTCTAGACTAGCAACTAAGCATAAAAAGAATAGTAACTTCCCTTTAATGCGAGTGCTTTAACCCATACGTCCTGAGATAGCCCTGACCGCCGCAGTTTAACGAGTTATCACCATAGCATGCTTTTACTAAACAATGCTTTTCGTCAACCTTTTTAGCCCGGACACGATCAATGGTTTTTTGACTGCCACACCAGCACTCGGCACCAGTTTGTACTCCTGCGCGCGTGAAGCCCTCTCTTTGACACATTTCCACACATGTCTCGGGCGTCATGTCGTAAAAGTGATATGCATACTTGA